GGCCCCCGTTAATCCCAAATGGGACGAAGAAGAACCTTCACACTTCTCGCAGGGTCCCCCCCATCTCACCTATAAAACTCACCCCTCTTCACATTAACACCATACTCCCCGACCGCCATTCCCAAATCCTCCATCGTCAACACCGTCCGCCCCTGACTGCCACCCTGCCCACCACCACCGTACCCCGGCCTCTGCACGCCGAGATTCGCGCCCTTCTGATCCTTACTGCCGGCCGCGCCACCCGCACCGCCGGCCGCCGCGGGGCCGGCCGCGGGGCCCGCGCCGGGAGCGCCGCCGGCGCCCATCATGCCGAAGCCCGCGGCGCCGCCGAGGCCGCCCATGGGGTTGTTGGAGGTGGTGTTGGAGGAGCGGATGCGCGAGTACTGGTACGCGTCGGCGGCGATGTCGGCGATGAACTTTTGCGTGGCCAGCGCGAGGAGGCGCGCCAGGTGCGGCGGCGTCTGCGGCGGCGGCGGCAGGCCCGCCAGCGTGAGGTAGTAGTTTGTGACGGCGTCGGGGATCTGTGGGGGAGGCGGAAGCGCGGAGCGCGCGACACGTTAGCTGCTGCTATAGCTGTGGTGATGGCAGTGTGGCCGTTGCCGTTGTTGTTGCTGTTGCGCTGTGGAGTGGCTTGTTGCGGAAACTGCTGTGGAGGATGACGAAACGGCTTTGCGCCTTGGGCAATATCTGGGGAGAGGCTTCAAAAGGGGAGGTGGGGGCCGTGGAGGGGACGAAAGTGCGAGGAGGGGAAGCACTTACGATGGGTGCGTAGTCGTCCATCTTGCTCAGGAACTCGCGCAGGCTGGCATCCTTCTTGGTCGGGATGCGTAACTCGCCAGAAGGCGGCGCGCCCGCGATCATGTTGGGATCCTGGCCGGGCGCAAGGCCACCGCTGCCCGAGGCGCCGGGCGCAGACGCGTTGTTCGCGCTGCCGCTGCCGGTATTGTTGTTGTGGCCGTCCATGTCGGTCGCGCCGTCGAGATTCATAGCATCGGCTTGATTGGGATCGGTTGAGGCGATTTCGGCGTTGATGGAGGCGTCCAGCTCCTCCTGCTTGACCTCGGGGTTGGTGTTGGCGGCGCTTGATTCGCCAGGTTGCGCGCCGGAAGCTGGGTGGTCGGAAGACATTGTCGCACAGGCGCGTGATTCGTCGGAGTTCGGAAAGATGGGGTGGGCTATAAGCAAGGGCACCTGACGTGCGTGGGGGTGTTGGCGAGGGTGTCACCGGGCGTGGTGCTGCAGGAATGGTGTGTCGCGAATGTACTGCGGTGGTATCTAATCGCCCAGCTAGCCAGGCCCGTGCACGTTCCCGCTGATTGATTTTCTGGGGGCGCTATTCACCCAATCACAGCTCGAGCACGACGCGGAAATGCTTCCATAGCTTCTCTCGACTGCTTGTTTCTTCGCAGAGTATCATAGTTCGCGGATATGACGAGTTTGTAGGTAGGAGAAAAGCGAAGCATCCTTGCACTGCCAACAAATGCTCGCTCACTCAGCTCAAAGCACCCTGCTACCTTGTTCTCTCATCCAGGGCGTAGGTAGTCACTAATGGTACGAGATGGCCAGTTAATCTATTTATATTTCGGGTATCATACTGTCCTTGTCTTGCAAGCTGCCCGACCGGGTCGTGGTCTTAGACCGTGTCCATACCCATCCAGTGAAAACGGAAATCCATGAGACTTTTCCACCCATTCGTCCCTCCACGGTACGTACTATTAAACCCCACCGCAATGACGTTGCCAACCTCATTCCGGTATCGCTCTACACTAGGAAAGTAATGGAACCATCACACTCTCTAACAACGAAACCGCAACGCCGTCTTCACAACCCTGTTAGCCCCTAGGCGTTACTGGGCCCATCGGTAGTCCGAAGCGAAGGATCAATTGCCGGATGGCTTTGCGGAGCGGGGTAACCCATCTGGGAAAAGCCATCGCCAGCCCCGGGCCACCTTCCGGCCGCCGCCAGCACAGTCGCCGCATCCATCTGCGCACGCTGCTCCCTTATTTTGCTCTCCTGTTCGTCTCTTCGCTGCTTCGCCAGTGCTTCTTGCTTCGCCGCCTGGGCAGGAGCCCTCGTCTTCAAATCACCTGTGACACCTAGTAGGTACACAGGCACTTCGACTCCGCTCTTCAGGAAAAACAGTTTCAAGTTCCTTGCCTTGTCTTTCAGTTGCACCTGGTTGCGTTCCTTGAGGATCTCCGATATGGTTCCCCCAGGACCGTAGAGAGCCAGAATCTGGCTCCAATGAGGGCCCTTAACCCGGTCAAGGCCATCCATGAGAGCGCGCTCTTCGTCGATACTCCAAGGCCGCCGCTGGTTTGCCGCTCCTGGCTTCCGAGAGTTGGGCGGTGCGCGAACAGTCGACGCTGAACGTGCCCGATCGTACAAAACCTGCGTCGGCGCGCTTTGGACTGAGATCGGACTTGGCGGGTTCGGTGCCTTGCTTGTGGGAAAAGATGGCTGGTGTTGCTGAGCGACCTGGGGATATGCTTGGTAGAAGGATACATTGGGTTGTGCATCTGAACTATTGGTCTGTTGTGGCCCATGGAGCGCGGCGTGAGCCATCAGCGCTGCTCTCGTGATCGTCTCATCGTAGTTTCCGCCGACTGCATCCTGCATCTGCTGCGGGTAGTAGCCACCGGGGCTGATACCTTGGGCATTGCTGTACATTGATGATTGAGAACTCTGCCGACTAGTAGCGGAGGCACCGTCCATGTATTTCTGAATGCAACTGTTGACTTCTTTGAGAAGGTCGTTCCAAGCGTGCTTTCTCGGAAGCATGACTCGAGCCTGCACCGTGTCGTCCTCGGCGAGAAGTGATTGTCGGCGCTGGAGAGCGAACTTCACAAATTCCAATTCCGGAGGCAAGAGCTGCTTGATCTCGGGATGCCTCGCAAGCATTTTCTCGGCCAGATTCTCCGGAAACAATCGGCTCATGACCTCGTCGCGTTTCTCTCCCTTCATCAACTCTTTGATGTAAACCTGTGTCTTGAGCTCCACGTAAAATCCACCATGCCAACTCAGGAACCTGCCATTCGGGGGAATGAAGATGTCCAAAAAGTGTTCGTTCAGCTCGTTCAGACTGACTTCCTGCCCACCGAATATGCTGCTGACGAAGGCTGCTAGATTGGCCTTGCGCACGGTGGGAGAGTGTTGCTGGCCATCCAGATGAAGCGCCTCTGCATCTATGAAGGAGTTCCCTTGGCTATACTGTTTGTAGTGATTCTCAAAGAGTTCTTTGAGTGAAGCGTACTCCTGGCCCGCGGGCGTGTCAATCTTATTGATGACGTTCAGCGTATCCTGGAAGGAATGCTGGCCGAGGGTGGCCAGCACTCGGCCCGACAGCTTGTCCAGCGTGGGCAAAGTTTTCACCAGCTCCGGGTTCACGTCTGAGGCCGGTGAGTACGGCTCGCTGTAGATGGGCGACTGTTGCGTGACGAACTGCGTGTCGTAGGAGGGCGCAAAAGGCTGTTGGGCCAAGGGCACGGCAAAGCCGTTGTCGTAGTAACTGCCGGGCATCTGGTTCCAGCCAGCGCCAAAGGGCGCCACGAAGCTCTCGGGACCGGTAGTGGCCGTCGGGGTATAGTTCACGGCGAAGGCGTTGCTCTGGTCGGCAGAGACTTGTTGGTGCAGCGGCAGGCTGCCGGCTTGGGCAGGCTGCGCCGAGTGCGGGCCATTGAGGGCTTGCGGGCCGAGAGGCTGCGGCTTCAGGCGCTTCGAGGGCGTAGCTATGGCTTGAGCAGGGCGCTTGGAGGCGCGGTCGGTAGTAGGGCTGATGGATGAGGGCGCTGGAGCTGGAGGGCCCGAGGCAACGGGCGCGTCGCCTGCTGTGAGCGGGTCAGTAGGCAGAACCCAGCAATCGCACGAGAGCGACGCGCGGGCTTGGAGCCGCAGAGGAAGTGGAAGAAGATGCAGGGTCCATCAACATACAGAGATCCAGCGGTCTGACCATCTTCAAGGGTGTCAAGCCTCGCCTGGCCCTAAGACTAGGTCGCTTGAAGTCAAGAGGTGACGAGGGAGGAGCTTTGATCTCCGCCGGAGGCTCTCCGACGCCGCCCCGCCAACCAATTGCACGCCCCCGTGCCTCGTCAAGCTGGAGAACCGTCGGTGTGCCTCTTCGACCGGCTATCAGGGGCTCTGGTGCGCAGCGCTCGCTATTGTATACAGACGAGTGCAGCAAACTCACCTGGCGCTCGTTCGGGCGCTGGTCGTGCACTCTCAACAGTTCACGGCGCGCCTGCAATGATTGGCGCGGGGAAATTGGGAGGATCCAGCCAGAACATCCCACGGTAGACGTCGTTAATCATGTTCCCCGTCATACCCAGTCATGATTCCCACCATTTGTGGCTCCTCCAGTCGTTGATCAGCTTGATTATGATTTGCTACCTTCCTAAGCCGCTGCTTCCAACTCCACGCATATTTGAAATGCACCCATTTTTCCGTTCTGAACGGGTCTTGGTGTATCGACATCCACATCGCCTCCGCATTCTATCCTGTTGCAAAGGCACAAATACTTCATCTGTCCCTTTACGTGCTGCCAGGGCCGCCGAGAAGAGCGAAACGGCGGACAATGCTGGGACCAATCTCATCGTACTCCGCCTTCGTGTGGCAGTAGCTCCTGAATTCGGGAGTCTGGCCCAACAGACTACCGCCGAACCAGGGACCATGGCGCTGCCTCTTGTGCGTGATGACCTGAACATCCAGGCCACCACTCTTAGCACCACCGCTACGCGCCTCTGACGCCTTGATACGTGCGTCGACCAAGTGCCTAATGTCACGCTGCAGACGGCGACCGAAGTCCTTGTACAGTGTAGAACCTCCAGAGAGGACAATGTTCTTGTAGAGACCACGCCTGACATCAATAGGGCTGGTCTGAATGACGGTGTCGACAATGTTGGGCAGCGGCGTGAGGAAATCGCTGGAGTAGATCTCGGGATTGAAGAAGATCTCAGGCGCGAGGAAGCGCTCGTAGCCAACGTCGACCGACACGCTCTTGCCGTTGGGGTGCTTGACCTCGTACTTGGGGAACCGGTCAGGCTCCCTATCGTAGCGGGAGAATTCCTTGACGATATCGGGGCAAACGTAGCAGAACTCCTCCTTGATCCTTTCCGCCGTCTTCAAGCTGCTGTCAGGCTCGCCTCTGTCACGCAGCAGCTGCTGAACAAAGTACGTAATATCCCTTCCAGCGATGGGAACACTCTTGATGCTGGATCCAATGACATATCCTTCCGCGACAGGAATGACGTGGGTGACACCCTCACCGGAATCGATGACCGTACCCGTCAGCGAGCGGTCCGTAACCTTGGACGAGGTCCAGGAGGCCGCGAGCGCAAGGACCGCCTGCACGGCAATGTACAGACCAGCGCAGTTGAACGACTCGAACATGATCTCGGCCGTCATCTCGCGGTTCTCCGGGGGGTTGAGTGGAGGCTCAGTCAGGAGGAAGTAGTGGTCCTCGGGCTCAACGCGGAGATACTTGAATATCGAATTGGACCAGAAACGTTCCATGTGGTCCTGAGTAGCTGTCAGCGTCGGGAGAGCGAGTTAGAAGCGTCTGTCGGAGCTTACCCAGTTCTCAATCTGTCCGTGACGGATAGGGTAGTGGAGGCCATAGCCTGCTCAGGTTAACCAACGCGCCCTTTCGCACAGCGTATAGCTATTTTGTTGTAGCGTACCAGGACCAGAAGAGGCGGCCAGGGCCTCGTCTCCGATGAAGAAGTCCAAATCCTCCGTACCGCGCTTCCCTGACAAGTGCCCGCCAGGGCCGGCACCACCGGTGAGGAACGAGGGCTTGTTCGCAATAGCCGGGCGGCCAGAGCCGGAACCACCAGCACCTCCTCCGGCAGACTTGGTCGCGATGGCTGTGGGGAAGACGAACGAGGGGGAGTCGTTGCCGGCGAAACCTAGGTGCGGAAAGTCAGCTAGAGGATCGGTAATGAACGGTGCAGATTGATCGCGTACCTAGCTTCGAGTAGCCCGTACCGCTGTGGGTTGGTCAATTGTCAGTTGCGGGGGTCTCAGGCCAGCGGAGGGGATCTCGGCGGTGTCGGGAGCTAGCTCACTTGTCCATGACAACGGCGGGGGTCTGGGTAGCCATGGCGAAGAACGAGGCCGGCGGCTACAGCTCTGATTGAAGGGCAAAGGTTGGTGAAGGTGCAGGCAGGGGAAGATGTCCCGGCGCTGGATGTGGTGGAGGGCTGCCTGGTAGTGGTAGGGCTCGGGGGTGATGTAGGTCGCTAGACGAGGCGGGCGCTCGAAACCCAATGGGGGCTCTCCGCGCCCCGCTGCATCATCGCTCCGCCAGCGCCAAGCTCCCGCCTCCTCCAACGCTGCGTGCCAGACCATGTCGCGTCCTCATTGCCGCGTCTTTACTTGCTCTCCGTGCAGAGAAACCTCTCCATGACCACGGACCCAACGCAGCCGCTACGACGTCTGTGATTTCTGGTTCATCCGCGCAGTGAGGTGCATCGTGCGCTCATCTCTAAGCTCAAGGGGTGGAGATCACGGTGGACTGAATGCATGCGATCCGTTGCGCGCCCATTTTCTTCTCGACAGCGCGCAGTATTCTGTGCAGTTTCCGGTAGCCACAGACTTGATGGAGTCATGAGGGCTGTTAGGGCATGCGGGCTGCAGTCTCCACGCGCTCTTGCCGGCCTCGCTATGGAAGGCGTCAACCTCGTGCCGCTCGCAACAGCGTCCTCTACTGTCGCCCTCTGACTCTGCTCCGTTTTCTCAACGCCACCCTCCCGCTCTTCTTTTCCTTTCTCCTACCAGTCACGACCCCGTTGCACTCGCTTGTCAATCGTCGCGACCGAGGCGGACGAGAGCGTGACAGCCCGATCGAGGTCGCCATTTTTTCTGGGTCATCCTCGTCTTCCATCTTTATCACCGCCAGCAAGCCCGAGCTGCCGCCCATCCAACGCCATTAGGCCACCGCGCTGCTCACGCGTCTCCCCATCCAGCACGTTTATCGCTCGCAGAAAAGCGAAGACTCATTGCACGTGCCAAGGTTCTGCCACCACGACGAAGACAAGTTGCACACTTGTAGGGTACCTCTGACCGGTTCAAGCGCCATTTGAAGCAGGTCGTCAAGCTGAGTCGTCCATCGCGCCGGGGCTTGAGGCTGCTACGCTTTCGGCGCCGCCTCTCGTCCTTGAAAGAGATCAAGCCCACGGAAATTCCCGCGAGGCAGTTGGACCCAGCTTCACACAACACAATGTCACGATATGGGGGAAGAGGTCGCCGGGGTGGCGACATTTGCGCAATCTTTGTGCATGCTGGAGCAGGCTACCACAGCGTACAGAACGAAACCTTGCATCTGCAAGCCTGTAACGAGTAAGTCAAACACTCCCTAGTGAGCATCGTGCGGTTTTCATTCGAGCTATTCAAGACTAAACCAAAGAATCGTAGTGCTGCAAAGGCCGCCATGGCATTGCTTCGAAATGGAGGCACCGCTGTAGACGCTGTAGAAATTGCGATCAAGATACTCGAGGACCGCGAAATCACTAACGCTGGGTATGGGAGCAACCTCTCCATGGATGGAGTGGTTGAGTGCGATGCTATCGTCGTCGATCATCTAGGACGCAGCGGCGCGGTTGGTGCTGTTGCTCGTAAGTGCCCATTGGCCCCATCGCCCGAAAACAGCCTGACATCATGACAGAAATCAAGAACCCCATATCCCTGGCGCGTGTCTTACTTGATCACACCACCAAGTCGTTGCTGCTGAAGCGTGTCCCTCCAAACCTTCTTGTTGCTCAAGGCGCTACCGATTATGCTTTCAGCCAAGGTATCCCGGTCCTTCCTCACGATGCACTGGTCTCTCCGGCAGCCCGAGAACGTTGGGTCAGATGGAAGTCCGATTTGGCATATGCGGAACGGAAGGCATTACAGATCGTGGCGCCTCCCATAACTCAGCCTGAATACATCCCTGAGACGGTAGACCCACTAGCAGAGGAAAGAGAGCGCAAGCGGCTGCGCTCAAGGCATACCCAGGCAATGCTCCGGGGTGTGCCTGCTTCGACAACGAGGACCGATTCTCCAAAGCCTGTGCCCACCCTCACCACCTCCTCGCCGAACTCCAACATCACATCAGAATCCTCTGAAACCTGCATGACCGCACCAGATCCATCATCTGTGACACTTGTTGAAGGTGGACCTAAAAGAACCGCATTCAAAGAAGCCATTCACAATCCCCTGATAAACAGTACTCAGACTGTGCCAACAATGTCATCTCTTTCAGACACCGATGATATCCCCAGGATTTCGACGCCGGATGTCGACATGAGCGACGCCAATGATCACGCAGATATCCAGATGGGAGAAGACCACAAGCGAAAGTCTGAAGCATGCCATGATGGATCGGGGGACGAGTCGGATATTTCGTCTCCGTCACTCGAACTTCCGTCCCTAACTCCTAGCCCTCCGCCGCAGGAGGCTGTCGAACAGCCTCTTCCAGAGTCACCTGTACATGAAACGAGGCGTACTCTCCAACGCACCTCTACTGAGCTTCGCCACGTTGTTGAGCATGCTCCTTTGCCGCCTCCACAGGTGCCTCGACGCGTCTCTAGTCAGGACAATGCCGCTGAGCAGGGGCAAAAGCAAACTTCTGACCGAGGAAGACACCAGGATCATATTACTGACACCGTCGGCGCCATTGCGGTAGACTGTTACGGCAATATTGCTTGCGGAGCCTCCTCCGGTGGCATCGGAATGAAGTACCAAGGAAGGGTCGGTCCTGCAGCACTTGTTGGCGTCGGAGCTGCGGTGGTACCATGCTATCCCGAGGACAAGGACAAGGTAACGGTCGCCACTGTTACCAGCGGTACGGGTGAGCACATGGCAACTACAATGGCCGCAACAGTCGGAGCCGAGAGACTCTACCACAGCCTGATGAAGGACAAAGAGAATAAGCTACAACCCGTGTCTGAGGAGGAGGCAGTGAGGGCCATGGTTGAGAAGGAGTTCATGGGTAAAAACAAGCCCAGTCTTAACCATGCTCCTGTCGCGCTAACTTTCTCTTCAGGTCACCCAAGCGTCAAAAGCAGTCATTCAGCCGGTGCGATCGGAGCCATGAGCGTCAAAAAGACCCGTGATGGTGTCTACTTTTACTTTGCTCACAATACCGACTCCTTCGTAAGTTTGGACCGTCCATGTTCTTACGCTAAGAACGTCATGGACTAACATGAGATTAAGGCTCTAGCATCCATGCATTCCGACGAGGACAGACCCACTTGCACCATGTCTCGCAGCATTGGCCCCGGCATCATCGCACAAGGTGGTCGCTGCTTGCGTTACAAGCGCAAGCGGTAGGTTCTGCCCTCGTTGGCCGGCTTTCCTATGATTCTTTCCAACTGGCGTTTCTGTTTTTGAGAAGCGGAACCTAGATGAACCTACTTCTACATGAGTTACGACACTATGACCTGGCTACATGGCGATTGGTTTGTGGACTCTTCCGTAGACCCTAATTAGCGACAGGAGTTTTCTTACTACCCCTTATTCTATCTATCGATTACATCACAATCATAGCTCTTCTCCGTCCAATCTTCTCTTGCTGTGAGCTGAAAATGGTTGCCGAGACAGGCTTCAGCACATCCATATGTTTGATCGCTTAGAATTGACTCCCGTCAGGACTGTATGTAAGGGGCTCATGGGCCTCCTCTTGCGCATTAAATTTACGCTGCTGTTTCTGTCCCATTGATCCATGGCGATACAATTGGCCTCTGATGATCACGTGGGACAAGTGGCATGTGTATGACACGCGGACGAATAGGCTATGGGGTGTACCTAATATAATATCAATCCTAACGCCATGCTTCTACATTCTCTGAGAGATATGTGTGTTTAGCCGACTAAGCTTAAGACATACAACATGGACGACTTTGGTCATCAGGGAACTCGTAGACACTTTGTGTGCTTTCCTGGTCATTGTACGTGCTATGTACTTAGCTCGCAGTCACCCCTCCGGTGTCGAGCAATGATTAGTATATGATGTTGATGGAGATAATCATGACCTCCGACGATGGAGCTGTGTAGCATGGTGGAACAATGGTAAGGCTCGTCATCATAGCGCTCTTATTCCAGTAGAGTCGATTCGCTGTTAGAAGCGAAAGGGCCGAGACGCACAGAAGTGGAATCAGTGTTTGGTCTTTGTTGAAAACGCAGTGTTTTGACTTGGATAAGATGAAGTGGCGGCTAACAAATATGGTCCTTGCAAGGAAAAGAGTCTGCTTTATACACCTACAGCGCTCCGCTTCCCACATGATGTCGACCGTGAATCAGCACCTCAGCTAGCAGGCAAGAAACCAATGGGGAAATAGCTACGAAATGTTGTGTGCACCGTATCGTTAGGCGCTGGCTTGCATGCCTTAGTATAAAGGCAGCCTTCATAGATAGTCTTACCTTCACATCTTTTAGAGAGCAAGCGTTCTGCGGCAGCCCGAATGACAGTCCAAGAGAGGGCATCACTTTGGTGTCGCCTCTCTCTGCTTCTGTCCTCGACATGAACCAACCCCAAGTCTTTCCATGTGCATTCAATGGCGCTGGGCATTTATGGTGATTGATAATTGCAGGGGTGCTTTTTTTTTGTTCTGGAGAGGAGTAAGGAATCATGATATCATCAAAAATCTTCGCGGACACTGACTATTCTGTGGGTCATCTCCGCTCCAGATCGGCTGGGAACCAAAGGAGTAGGTAGCTAAACCAGGTACCGGAGAATCAACAAGATTTGTAGTCGTAGTGATCTGGAGATTCTAGTGTACGCTCTGCCACAGCGAAATCACTGATAGGAACCTGGCCTTCAGATGGAAAGGCGCCCGCTCGTATAGTAGTACAGAAAATATACATGTCAATATATCCACAGCCATTCGTGACACTCTTTCCCGCACATGTCAGTGATATCTCTTTTTTTTTTTCTTGGTTTCCAGGATATACACACCCAACCGGTTATTTCCGATCGATCTCCCCGCTCTTTTGGATAATGCAGCGGCCGCCAATATGCATCACCCTCATGATTCCTTTCCTTATACTCGCCATTCAGCTCCCTATGCCTTCTCATTCATTCCTCTCCAGCTGCTCACCTCTAGCGTCTCTGCCCGCCCTTCTAAACCCCCCCAAAAAAAAGATGGAAGATATATACGAATCTCTTAGTGCACGCTTCCGCCATAGTACACCTTCCGCACGTCAACGAGCTTCCTGCCGCGAGCGCGGGCGATGTCCTCGGGCAGCTTCTGGCCGAGCAGGGCCTCCCAAGTGGCCTTGACCGTGTTCATCTTGTTGCGGGAGCGGGTGACGCGGGCAGCCAGATCGTGGATGCCGGCGGCGCGGGCCATTTCGAAGATCAGATGCTGGCAGCGGAGACCGAAGCCTGTTGGATCGGACCAAAGTCAGTTACATACTGCCGACATGGGGATCGTGGCGGGAGGGGGAATAAAATTCAGGCTTGTTTCTCTTACCTGGCGGCCTGGCGCTGAGCTTGAGGTTGACGGCGCCGACCTTGCCCTCGACCTCGCCGTAGATGGTGCGGTTCTCGTAGCGCACGACGGGCTTCATGTTGCGGATGGCGTTCATGACGGACTGGCGGCGGCCGTCTTCGGGCTCGGTGCTCTTGCCCTCGCCGACGCCGAGCATGCCGTTGCCGTCGCCGGCGATGGTGAGGTAGTACATGGACGCGACCTTGCCGAGGCGCGTCTGGTTGACGACGCGGCGCATGACAAGGTTCTTGACGCGCAGGAAGCGGATGTCGGCCTTGGTCAGGCCCGTCTGCTGTGTCAGGCGCAGCGTGTTGGCTTCCTCGTCACCCTCGCCGGCGCCGCCGGCAGCACCGCCGACGGACTTGGGGGCCAGGCCGTCGATTTTGGGCATCTCGGGGGCCAGCACGGAGAAGTTCTCGTTCTCGATCATGCGGTAGCCCTCCTCGCTGTTGGCGTGGATGAAGGTGCGCGGGTTGTCCAGGAACTGTAGGAAGCGCACGCGGCCGCGGTCCTCCTCGTCCTTCTCGGCCTTGGAGCCGGGTTGCAGGCCCAGGGCCTCGAGGCGCTCGCCCTCCTCGACGTAGAACATGGCCAGCATCTGGGCCATCTCGTCCTCGGTGCGCGGCCGCACGCCGTAGTCGGCATAGGGGTCGAGCTCGGTGCGCGGCTTCTTGTCCAGCACGGGCTGCAGCCGGCGCAGGTCGTCGTTGTACTGCAGCGCCATCGGGTCTGCCTCGCGGTGGTTGTTGACGTCGGTGTGCCAGCCCTCGACCAGCAGGTCGCGCGAGTCCAGCGCCTGCTCGCCCGCCTCGATGGCCGCCAGCTGCTCCGGCGAGTACTTGGCCGCCAGCACCTTCTTGTCCTCCTCGCTAAACGACGGGAACGTCTTCTGTGCGACATCCTGCAGCTGCTTCATGTGCTCGACTTTGATGGACGGGTAGTGCGGCTTTCGCCGCTTGCTGTGCGCGGGCGAGGCGTGAAATTGGCGGCGCAGGAAGGTGCTGCTATCGGCGGAGGCGGAGGCGGCGGCATTGGTGGCTGTCGTTGCGGACCTGGTGGCCGCGGATGCTCGTGCGAAGAGACATCTTGCGGGGCGGGCGACGGTGCTCATGGCGGGAGCAGGAGGTCAATGCCCGGGGAGAAAGCGATTGAGGCGGGCCGGGAGCCGTCGGGGGCGGGGGGCGGGCGATGGGCGGTGGTGTTGAGGGACGGGAGCGGTGGCAGTAGGCTTCGGCTCAGAGCTCACGCGCATCCATCGGCGCTCGGGCGGAATTCTTTTCTGGTGGTCGAGAAATTAAGCTTTTATGGAGCCGCAAATCCGCCCGCGTCACCCGCCCAATCGCAGCCCGCCGTTTTCCTCTGACTGAACTTCATCCGCACTTTTTTCCCCGACACTCCCCAAACGCCAGCACGTGGATGATCGCCTTCGCCGGACGCACAGTTCTGCAGACCCTGAACAGAGCCGGCTGCGCCTTTGTACGCCGCCGCCCGTACAGCATGGCCTCTTCAGCGGACAAGGTCGCTCCCGTCGAGACCAACGGCCACAAGAGGGCTTGGGAGGGCGCCCGCAACTACCGTTTCAAGAAGCAGAAGCAAGAGAAGGAGTCGGTGCTGAAGACCGAGGGCACCCATGAGGAGGTTCTGTTGAAAGATGTCGAGGCCCTGCTGAGAAAACACTCCATCAATGACGCGAGTGGAGAAGCGAACCCTGGCCAGCAGCCCTCCCTCCCGGATCCTTTCACCGAGATCGAGCTCACAGTGCAAGAAATCTCGTCGACCGGTGATGGACTTGCGCTGGCTCCCAACTCGAACCAAGTCTTCGTCGTTCCCTTTACATCTCCCGGCGATAAGGTCAGGGCCAAGGTCATAAAGCACTTCACAAAGCAAGGCTATACCTTGACAGACTTTGTCCAAGTCATCAGCCCTGGACACATCAGAGATGACTCGCTCGTGAAGTGCAAGTACTTTGCCTCCTGCTCCGGCTGTCAGTTCCAGATGCTGCCCTATGAGGCACAACTGGTACACAAGAGGACCATCGTTGAGAAAGCCTACAAGAACTTCTCCGACCTGGCACCGGAGCTTATACCACAGGTTGCCGACACTATCGGCTCCCCACTGCAATACGGCTACCGCACCAAGTTGACGCCACATTTCGATGGTCCCCCCGGCAAGAAGAGGAGCGATGGCCGCAAAGGCATCCGGAGAACCTTCGCCGAAGTCCCGCCCATCGGATACATGAAGAAAGGCACCCGCCACACCATCGACATCGAGGACTGCCCCATCGGCACCGACGCCGTGCGCATGGGCATGCAGAGCGAGCGGAAGCGCGTGGCCGCCGAACTGGACAAATACACCAAAGGCGCCACCATCCTCCTCCGCGAGAGCACCAAACGCATACCCAAAGACCCAGCCGCGCCACCCCCCGCGCCACGCCCCGACGCCGTCCTCGAGGACCGCGGCGCGCACTACCACGAAAAAACATGCGTGACCGACCAAAAAGGCCGCTCGACCGAATACATCGACGACTTCCAGTTCGAGAACCCCGCCGGCGCCTTCTTCCAGAACAACAACAGCATCCTCCCCACCTTCACGCAGTACATCCGCGACCACATCCTGCCCCCGGCGAGCACCGACACCGACACCGACCCCGGCAGCCGCCGCCCGCCGATCAAGCACCTCATCGACGCCTACTCGGGCTCGGGCCTCTTCACCATCACCCTCTCCCAGATGTTCGCAAAGTCGCTCGGCATCGACATCGCCGCCTCGTCCATCGCCTCGGCCTCGACCAACGCCGCGCTCAACGGCCTCGCCGCCGACCACGCCGCCTTCATCGCCGCCGACGCCGCGAACCTCTTCGCTTCCATCACGTTTCCCGCCCGCGAGACCGCCGTCGTCATCGACCCGCCGCGGAAGGGGTGCGACGACTTGTTCTTGCGCCAGCTGCTGCGGTACAGTCCCGAACGGGTCGTGTATGTCAGTTGCAACGTGCACACGCAGGCGAGGGATGTGGGCGTGTTGGTGAATGGGATGGAAGGCGTGGATGGAGGGTTTGGGGTCGGCGGCGGCGTGTATGAGATTGAGAGTCTGGTGGGGTTTGACTTTTTCCCGCAGACGGGGCATGTGGAGGGGGTGGCGGTGTTGCGGAGGAGGAAGGAAGGGGAGGGCGGGAAGGAGAAGGAGAAGGAGAAGGAGAAGATGGTGGAGGTGGAGAGGGAGCTTGATTAGATGGTTGGTTGGGGTGCTATGAGGTGGTGGGGCGTGGGGCGTGGGCTTTGTGCATCAGCAGACGGATTAAAACGGATATATAGGCGTTCATGGGCGAAGTCTGAACCCTTTTTCCCATACTAAATGGGTCTTTCCACGTTCCGCAGAACTTTATGTTGGAACTCTCATCTTGTTCACCTCCGGGCTGTTTATCGTGGTGGAGCAAGTTTCTGCGACCCGGTGAAAGAGACGCCCAGTCAAAAGTGCTTTGAAGCCCATCGTAAAGGTGTTCATAGACGAATGCAGATCATTCAGATGCTCTAGCTCATTCGCCAGTTGTCCCCCAACACGCTTACTTTTGCATTCCTCGTTCGCTAGGGTTCCCCGTGCGTCTTGTTTGCTACTTTGTTCTTTGGTCAACGTGACCGCGCTTGTCCTACGGAACTGGGAACGCGGACGTCAACTGCCGCTTACCGTGTGGCCTGGTGACGTCCATGCATGTGCCGTGATGGGCCAGGACCTCGGAGTTTTAGCTTAAAATCAGATCTTCGGGGACGTCTTCCATGAGAACCAGCTTCAGCGGGCTGCCTGTGGCACCTCACGGAGGACATCTTGTGACTGTTCCTGCCGTATGATGGCAGGACAATTGCATTCGACGCGTGCATGTCACTTCTATATTTGTTCGTCCTAGACCGGCGTATACAGTGGCGCAAGTCTCTGCAGCTTGGAGTGCTGGTCTTTTGGTTTGGTGAAGTGCGAGATCTGGTGACACTGGTAGTGAGCAGCACATGGTCATGTTGATGAGTACTCTCGTGAAGGCAGTGTTGCTGCTGCTCATCATCCTGTCTGTTCATTCAATGGACAAGAACCGCAGCAGGGCTCGGCGATAGAGACAGGCACACCGAAGGTTGCGTCCAATGTCCATTGACCTTAGTCATAAGTCAACTCATCCACGTGCATTCGACGGCCCAGAAAAGCAAAGCATGGATTGAAATAGTTCTTTCTTTGCAGTTGCCTTCTGGTTTTTATAGGGCAGAAGCCTGGAGGCTACATGATCAATGGTTGAAGAAACAACACGCCTGACAAGCTCGCCGTGCTGAAGTGATCAGCCAGCGGCAGTTGATTAGTTGTCAGCTGCAGGCGTACACTCAAAGATGCCCCCTAGCGCGTCATAAAACATAGCAGTACTATCTTATCTGACGCTCTAAGCTAATTCGATATCACGGTCGCATCGTTGGCAGTCGCGAGGCCAACTGCACGAATTTAATCACTTGTTCTGCGAGTGAGGAGGTTCATCAGGGCGCGCTTGGGAGATCTGATCAGTGTTTCGACTACCGCTTCAGCTGTTCTATTTTACAAAATGCCGACCGATGCAAAGCATCAAACCACGCCTGACGATTCACCCTCACATGTCTGTTCTGCGTCTGTTTATCAGCTGATCTGTCTAAGTGGAGAGTGACGTAACCTCCGCGGGGCTCAGAGGGCCTCAAACTTCTGGGTCTTGCAGTGCAGTGGCCATTGCTTGGACGGTTTGATGGCTGTGCTTGATTACTTGAAGCTGTAGATGTGGTGAGCTGATATCCTGCAGGTGTGTGATGATGGTCTGTCGATCAGGTGGACAGGAATCCCACAGAGCCCAGGCAGATACTACATAAGCGCAACCGTGGAAGTCGTCTGTTGGCAAACGGCAGCGATTGGCTGAACGGTGGGAATGATCGATGGCGTTGGCACCCCGCTTTCTGGCTAAGATGGCTGGCACGCTGGGGTGGGTAAGTGCGGGGCACAATGACTGCCCAGTCACTACTACTAAACTAGCAAGAAGTTTGTCCAGACGTACAGCGCAGTTGTTGTTCATGGAAGTTCCCGCCGCAAGCGCAGGTGGCAAAATCTAGGCTTTCTTTTAGGTGCAGGCAACTATGGAGGCTTCCTCTCGTGATATAACCTCAACTGTCGCCATCGAAGCCGTATGCGTCGACTGAGCAGGATATTCGACCTATCGGCAGATATCACCAAGTGAGGGTCTGTGCTGGGCAACGTTATCTGACCATGATATTCCTTCTGCCAGGAGTCCCTGTCTATTTTTGACATGGCCGGCCACTAGCGGCGGCAGCGGTAGTGATCCAAGTGTTGGTGTTGTGAGGATAAGGATGCAGCTGCGGGGTACTTAGCAGCTCCGTCAGCACTAGTCCTTCTACCATGCAGGGCAACAACAGTCTCAATGTAGACCATGCATGAGCAGACACGATGGAGCTCCAGACCCAATCCATAATCGACCAGGCCGCGTCCGCCTTGAGCATAAAAGCTCGGACTTCAGCCGTACCGCAAAGTGGATCGAACAGCTCTTCAGACACTTTGTCCCACTCTGACTTCCAGACCACCTTCGTCTGCAAGATAGCAACATGGGCGACGCGGCGAACGGAGCCAATGGCACCTCCCCCACGCTCCCCGCCCTCGTCACCTCGGCGTCTGCCTTTCTCGAAAAGGAGTACGACTATGTCATCATCGGCGGCGGCACAGCCGGCCTCGTGCTCGCCGCCCGCCTGACGGAGAACCCGGACATCAACGTCGGCGTGCTCGAAGCCGGAAAGAACAAACTCAATGACCAGCTGGTCGATACCCCGGGCCTGTTCATGCAGATGCTTGGGCACCCGGAATACGACTGGAACTGGAAATCGGCTCCACAGGCAAGTCTTCCTCTGACCCCCGCCTCCAACGAATGTTACAGCAAGCTGACCAGCATGGTAACAGGAGGGCATGAATGGCATCGTGCACAACATACCCCGCGGTAAGGTGCTCGGAGGATCCAGCGGCATAAACTACATGATGTAACAAACTCCCCAACCCCGACGAGGGATCATGACTGAGTGACTGACAACTCCAGGTACGTCCGCGGCTCGGAGCGCGACTACGACGACTGGGCGGCGCTATCCAACGACCCGGGCTGGAGCTTCGCCAACATGCGGCAATACATCACCAAGCACCAGACGCTCGAGCCCATCCCCGACAGCATCACCAACCGCGCCGCCATGTCCACCATCGGCGTCAACCACGGTCCGTACTCCGTCCGCACGACCAATCCCCCCCTCCCCCTGCTCTCAAAAAAAGTCCAAGTCCTCTGACACTCTGACTGACACTTCCCCCGCAGGCACATCCGGCCCCATCCACACCTCCTTCAACGACACGCGCCTCCCCATCGAAGACGCGTTCCTCGCCGGCGCCGACGAGGCGGCGCACATCGCCGAGAAGCCCGTCGACGCGTGGGGCGGCGACCACTACGGCTTCTACAACGGGCTCGGCAGCGTGTACCGGTCGGGCGCGCTGGCGGGCAAGCGCAGCTACGCGGCGCGCGGCTACTTCTCCGAGGGCGGCGTCGCGGCGCGAGAGAACCTGCGCGTGCTGTGCGAGGCGCGCGTGACGCGCGTCGTGCTGGATGATGACGATGACGATGATGATGATCACGCGGGAGAGGGGGATGATCATCAGGGCAATGCAGGTCATCATCGTGTCGTTAGCGCGAGCGGCGTGGCGTTTGTGCATGGCGACGAGGGCCGGCAGTACGAGGTCAAGGCGCGGCGGGAGGTGTTGCTGTGTGCGGGCGCGATCCAGTCGCCGCAGGTGCTGGAGCTGTCGGGGATTGGTGACCCGAAGGTGCTGGCGGCGGCCGGGGTCGAGTGCAGGGTCGAGCTGCCGAGCGTGGGCGAGAACTTCCAGGACCATGTCGTCACGGGGGCTGCGTACCAGCTTGCGCCGGGCGTCATCTCGGCGGATAGCTTGTGGCACCCGGAGGCGATGGCGGAGGCGCAGAGGGCGTTGGTGGAGGAGGCGGCGGGGCCGTTGACGGCGACGGCGAGCGGGCAGGGGTTTGTGAGGTGAGTGGTGTGGAGCTGATCGAGGTGCGAGCGCCCAAGGCTGACTGTGTGGTGTAGTTACAAGCGGTTGGTGTCCAAGGAAGAGCTCGACAAGACGGTTGCCAGCATCCGCGAGACGCAGAGGACTTCGACGCGTACGTACCTTCCTCCATTTGCGGCGAACGTTTACAACATCACTGACGGCCACAGCCTTCCAACAACGCCAGCTCGAGCTCATCATCAAGCACCTCGAAGACGACAAATCAGCCAACGTCCAATACATCCTCATCCCCGCCCGCGGCAACCTGACGGACGAATCCATCCAAGACCAATCCAAGCTCTGGCTGCCGGGCGACCCCGCGCAGCCCGAAGTCATCTGGGGCTGCGCCCTGCAGTACCCCGTCTCCCGCGGCTCCGTCCACATCGCCAGCGCAGGTAATTAAGCCAACATTTTCCTTCCTCCCTCCCTCCCTCCCTCCCTCCCTCTCTCCCCCAACCAACAACACACCACTGACCACCCGGTGCACCACCATTTCCCCAACCACCACAGACCCACTCGCCGCCCCAACAATCAACCCCGCCTACCTCACCCACCCGGCCGACACCTCCGTCCTCGCCGCCGGCCTCTCCCTCGCCGACCGCATCGCCCGCGCCCCCTCCCTCTCCCCTCACCTCTCCGCGCGCCTCTCGCCGCCCCCGGACATCGACCTGCAAGACGTCTCGGCCGGCGGCGCGGCCGCATCCGCGGTGAAGAATTGGTCCATGGGCGAGTACCACGTCGCGGGCGGGTGCGCCATGGGCGACACGCTGGACGGGAAGTTGCGGGTGAGGGGGGTGGAAGGGCTGCGCGTGGTGGACGCGAGCGCGTTTCCGGGCCATGTGAGCGGGAATTGTCAGAGCTCGGTGTACGCGTTGGCGGAGAGGGGGGCGGATCTGGTCAAGGAGGAGGCGGCTGAGGCGGAGGAGACGGAGGAGGCGGAGGCGCAGGAGAAGCAGAAGAAGAAGCAGAAGAAGCAGAAGCAGAAGCGGGGAGGGGAGGGGCCGGTGAGGCTGGTGGACGGGGACGAGGGGGGGCTGTGGGATGGGGGGGAGTGATTGGGATAAATGCGGGTAGGTGTGGGTGGTGTTGGGAATTGCAAGCTGCCGAACGCATAGGCGAGGTTCCGGTGGGTTGCAGGCAAGTAAGCCGGCAATCAGTATTCAGGTCTATGAAAGACTCAACGGTTGCTACTTTGTTGGGACCGTGGCCGTGACATGGGGGCGTGAAGAGATTGATCATAGTGAGGATGGGGAAGGAAGCAAGTGGTCTTTTTCCACCAGCGAAGCCGAGCCAGTGTACGACAACCACTCGAGCTGCTAAGCGGAGGGCCGAAGGTCCGAAGCGGCGGCGACGTAGCCGGGGTGTTAGGTTCAGACTTGAGAACCGGAGGATGTTCGGGGGCCACTTTAGGTCTAGCGTAGAAGGTTTAACCTTCCTATTAGTTGGTTCAAAAGACAAATCATATAGTAATTATATATTTATCCGAGGCTATCTCGTCCCACGCGTCGCGTACCCTAATAAATACCGCCACTAGCAACGGCGGTTCTTGCATATATGGGTGCTGGGTCGAGTCATCACATGGCCACACACCAAGCATACGTTCAGACAATGGAGTGAAATCCTTTTTTTTTCCCCCAACCACTACATACTGCACGAGTCCTCCGAACTCAAAACAGCCACTCCCCCTCGCCAGATGATTTAATCATCTTTTACCCCTAATTTCCTGAATTAGATCCCAAAGGACATTTACCATCGTCTCAAAGAGCTCAGGACCGAACTGGGAGGCAGCAGTGTTGCTTTCGTGGCGTTTGTCGAGGGCGGCGCCGTGGTCGTCGCGGGGAACGTGCTTCTTCTGGTTGTACATTGCCAGAGTCCGCAGGCGAAATGTATCAGCTATGAGCTCACGCTCGCTGAGGCTGAACTCTTTCAGGGCGTCGGCCAAGTCGAGTGTTCGGTCGCCGCAGACGCCGTTCTTTGGGCCGTCGGGCTTCTTGATGGACTTGAGGCAGATGTTTATCATGCCGTAGGCTGTGTCTATAGGTCCTTTATCGACGATGGCTAGTCCGATGACCACGCCGGGCAGACTCTGCGACGATTCGGACGGTAGGGGCGCTGCCATGGCTGGCTGGGTGGATGCCATGGCCACAAGGGCGGCGGTGATGGTGCTCAGGAGCTTCATTTTTGAGCAGTGGAGAGGCGGGCTGGATCGATGATGGGCAGTCAAGTGGCAGCAACAACGCCGCCTTTTGTATCCGACTCAGATGAGGACACATACAGTGAACCGAAGTTGAAGTCCGGTGAAAGAAGGGTCTATAGACTCCATCCCCAACCGCCCACTGCAAAAAGTGAAAAAAAAAAAAAACGTAACCACAGACTCCACTCAGTCTCACACCCCTTCGATCCACTCACTCACTCCCCCAACCTCGAAAAAACCCTTCATCTACCTACCTAATACACGCCCTCCCTCTCCCCCCAGCTCTCCCCCTTCACCACCTCAACCGCCCCGAACCCCGTCTTCACCGGCGTCCCGCCCAGCACCAGCTCCAGCCCCTCCACCGCGACGCCCGCCTCCTCCTGGCCGAAGACGCTGACGGCGACGGTGTTGCTGCCGCGGTAGTCCCAGATGCCCTCGGGGACGGGGAAAACGTCTTGCGGGCCGATGTTGTGGATGTACTTGCCAAACTGCCAGCCGTTGACGAAGAGCTGCGCGCGGTACGCGCTGGCCGTCGCAGTCGCAGTCGCGTTCGTCGCCGTGCCGTTGGCGAAGGAGAAGGAAACGGGCACGTCCCAACCGGCGGGGATGTCGAGGTCGACGGTGGTGACGTACCACTTGGCGCCGGGGCCGGCGAGGCCGTCCGTCGCGGGGCCGGTGCTGTCGGCCCAGAGGGCGGCGTCGGTCGTGGGCGCGCCGGGGAGGTGAAACCCGGCGCGCTCGGCGAAGAGGCCGCCCTCGTTGAGGGGCCCGCGCGAGTGGTCGACGTACTTTTCGCCGCCGAGGTTGCCCGTCAGCTTCCAGCTCACCGCGCTCGCCGCGACGCCGCCCTCGATGGCGAAGTCGAGGATGCCGCGGGGCAGCTTGGCTTCTTCGGCCCCGACCACCCAGTTCTCCGAGATGCCCGTCGTGTCGAGGACGACGGTGAGGACGGCCGGCTCGCCCGCCGTCGTGCCCGAGATGGGGAGCGTCACGTTGCCGTTGGAGGCGTAGTCGGCGCCGGTCCAGGAGCCGAGGTGCGTGGATCCGAGGAAGACGGAGAAGCCCGAGGCGAAGCCGCCCTGCGCCGAGAGGTACAGCGACGACTCGGTGCCGGTCGCGGTGAAGTGACCCCGGAACAAGAGCGTGCCGTAGTGGTATCCGTAGTCGCCGGCGTAGAGCGACGTCGGCGTCGTCAGCGGGCGGAGCGTGTTGAGGGTGTAGGGTTGGTCGGCGGCGGGCCAGGCGCTGTCGTCGTAGTCGGCCGAGAGCTCGGGGAGGGTGTCGAGGGACTTCCAGGACAGGCTGGAGAGATCGGGAAGGGAGATGTCTGGGGGCGTGTAGGCGAGGGAGGCGGAGACGGAGCCGGTGGTGGGGGATTGGGTGAAGTCGATGTCCTCGCCGTTGAAGGTCAGGGACGTCAGGCCGCTGGGGGCGCCGCCGATGACTTCGAGTGTGGTGGTGGCGTTGAGGTCGCCCACGATGGACAACGTGCTGCCGTCGACCGAGGCGTTGCGGATGAGGTAGCCGGCCTTGAGGACAATGTCGTCGTGCGTCCAGTAGTTGTAGGCCGAGTTGCGGTCGAGGATGTAAAGGTACAGGCTCTCGCCCACCTTGACCGTCTTGCGTGTCGGCGTGACGGACCAGTGGAGGATGGTGGCGCCGTTCTTGGCTGTGATGGTCACGCCCGAGCCCTCGATGAGGGTGGCGTTCTTGCCGCTGGAGAAGGCCAGTTCGTGCGCTTCGTTGGGGCCGCCGTAGACCACGAGCACCGTCTTGTCGTCGTACTTCTGCCAGGTGAAGATCTCGGCGGTCGAGTAGAGCAGGTTCTCTCCACCCACGTCGTAGTCGGTAACGTGCACCTTCGAGTCGCGGCCGTTCAGGGTCAGGGTGCCATTCAGCTGCGGCAGGGTAAGGTCGCCCTTGCTGGTCGGGACGGTGATGGTGTACGAAGTAGACTCCAACGAGTTGTAGGCAGCATGCCTGACAACGAAGAAGTTCGTGACGTTACCCAGCAGCGGAGTCACGGCGAGGGCGGTGGTGCTGGCGTAAGAGCCGTTGGAAACCTCGCCGGGTACGGCCGTCAGGTAAGCGGGAGAAGCTTTCAGGAAGTTGCCCTGTAGCTTAAGCTCGCTGTACTTCTCGCGGTCAATCTCACGCGTCTCCCTGATGACCGAACCGTAGTCGTACGAGGTGTAGCCACCAGGATGGCCAAGGTTTCCCCAGTTGGTGCCGCCGAAGATCTGCAAGGCGTCAGCGTGGAGGCTCAATGGCAGGAAAACGGCGGACACGCACCATGTAAAAGTTCATGATGGTAGCACCGAAGCTCTGGAGATTCTTGTAGAAGACACGCTCGAACTCGTGGTTGAGCAGGACAGAACACTGGTCGAAACCAAGGCCACCCCAAGGGTCGAAAGAACCGCCTTGGAACTGTAACACGTGTTATAAGCAAAGGTGCTGACGAAAACTATCACGAATCATACCTCAACCAGCGCGTAAGGAGTGCTGGGACTCTGTTCCTCATGCAACTCCCTCCAGGTCTGGGGCAAACCTCCATCCGGCCAAGTATAGGGGTTGGCGCAGTCAAATCCAAGCGGGTAGCCATCGTGACCGTAGATATCAACCTGCGGGGTCCAGTTGGATCCGGGCGCGAAGTATCCCTTGGCCGAAGCGTCGTTGTTGATGTAGGGGACCACAATGCCAGTGTCACGGAACTGTTTCTCGACAATAGCCCAGTAGTTCTCGTTGGGGAACTCGACGCCCTCAACCGCACCCGTGTACTCGTTCTCCGGCTGGAAGAGAATGATAGGACCGCCGTTGGTGATCTGGGCTTTGGCAATGATCTCGCCAATGTTCTTGGCGTAGCTGATCGGCGGGTTAGCTATGGCACCAAAGCTTGGTCGGGATGGGTAGGTAACCTACTTGGCGGTCGAGTTGATGTAGGCCTCGTCGTCAGTCCGCAGCGTGCCATTGACGCGCTGGAGCCAACCGGGGAAACCGCCGCCAGAGACCTCAGCATTGATGTACGGGCCAGGCCGCTACCTTTGTCAGTTTGTGGCGGTGAAAGATGGCTGCGTCGGACTCACAGCAAGCAGGTAAATGCCAGCCTCTTTAGCAGCATCGAAGAACGGCTCCCAGGCGAAGACGCCTTCGGCGGTGAATTCGCCGGGAGTGCCCTCCAGCAGAGCCCAGTCGACGTAAAACGATACACCGCTGAAGCCCAGGGCCTTGATCTTGTGAAAAACATCGAGCCACAGCGAAGGGACCGGAAGTCTGAATAAGACCATGTCAGCATGGCAGTTCTGTGGCGGGCATGTGTTTGAAGAGGAGGATCATACCTGAACGGGTGGTACTCGCCGCTGAGGAAGATGATGCGCTCGCCGTTGACGAAGATGGAGTGCTCGTCCCAAGTGACCTAGTTCCTGCGCGTCAGCGAGCTTGTCCTGCGAGGCGGATGAAAAAACGGGGGGCGCACGATGTCCTGCAGAGCTTCGCGCTTGTACGGCTTGATCATGTCCGTGGGCTTGCCAGCAGAGACGGCGGCGCCCAGCGCCTGGGACGCCAGGCTCGCCGCCAGCAGGCCGGTGGAGAGCTTCATGGTAGCTGCAGAGGAGCTACGTGCAGACAGGCGAGACAGACGGCGACAGTCAGCTTGGGATCCTCTCGCCGGTGCTGAGCGGGGGACAGCTGCGGGAGCGAAATTGGTCGGAGGCGGTGCTGGAGGGGTCTTTTAAACGGTCATGTCGCCATGCCGGAGCTCCTTAGGCAGGCCCCGCCCACATATAGACCAAGACGGATCCCCGGTGGGATGCGGTAGGCCGTGCACATCATCACATCACAACACAGTAGTCAGGTCCGGCGCAATCCAGCCAAGAAACAACGACAGGAGCTCGCGAGAAACGGAGCCGAAGCGAAACAATTGACGAATGGGAAGTGGTGGAGGTGGGGGGAAGACCGGGGGGGAAGACCGGGGGGGACGTCACTGGAGATGCGGCGACAAATCTTCCGGCGTGATGCGACGCTGACAATGCGGGGGCCGGCAAAGTTGGAGGTTGCATGGGGAAGAAGGCCGGGAAAGGCGTGCGGAGGTGGCTCAAGCCTCACAGCAAGCGAAGCGCGGGCGAGGCAGCCGGAGCTGGAAGCTTGCCAGAGCTTACCCCGGCCATGCTGATCACTGCCCAGCCCGGTGCGGAGCTACCCTGGCCCATCTCGTGTTCGCCGCCGCCCAACTTCACCCATCGTGCCATCTCGACCGAGCCCCGTTTCGTTTCTCCAGACCAGGCCGCCGGAACCGACTTCTCCCCGCCACTTCCAGTGACCGCCCCAGTCTCCAGCATCCGCTCGGTACCGTGTCGGTATAACTGTACCTGCGCCTCCTGTCATTGACTAGGTATGCTCCCCTAGCGCGATCCCTCCCCCCGGCCGCTTGCTTGCGTTCCGGTTCCTGGCCATCGCGGCGGCGGTGTGCCATGCTTCCAGACCAGATTGAACCAGCCGTTGAGCTTTAAGTGCCTATCAAACCCATGTCGCCTATGCCAGAGCCGTTGCACTAATTACTAATTAGCCGATCTCTTTCAAAGCCTCATCAGCCCCATGCCCAGGCTACCGTCTGCCCCTGTGCCGGTAGTCCAACCCAGAACGCCTCTGCAGATGCCAATGCCGTGAGAGCCCCACTTGTTTTACCCCGACCAACGCCACACCCGTCCAAGACCAAAAAACGATATCATGTGCAAAAAAGCCATCCCATCACGCCACTGCGGAGAAAGCACCTGGGGAAATGCAAATTCACGAGGGAATCGGTGTTGCTCCGCCGCCGGGGGTGCCCGGCGTGGCCGTTCCTCCCGGCGTGGCCTCGCCCGCGACCCTCTTCCTCTTCTTCTTCTTCCTGGGAATCAGCGCCGGCACCCGGGTGATGGAACTCGAAACAGAGAGTGGGTTGGTGCACGTGGGGCATGTTTGATCGGCCGGCGGCTCGCAGAAGACTAAAACGACCTCACGCGTCAGCTCAACTGCAACGACAAGTTTCGGAGTAGAATGCTCACTGCTCAGGCACACGGAGCAGACGTAGCCGACGTCGACAACCCGCCTGTGGCAGAAACAGGCTGCCCGGAAGTCCACCTCGCCGGCGCTTGGCAACACCAGGTGCTTCCGCGCCGTCTCGTCGGGCAGAAATGCCATCATGAGGTATTGCAGCAGCCCCTGCGGCGCCGACGGCTGCAGGTAGATGCCGCCGGTGGCGTCGCACGCCTGCTGCAAGAAGATGGTGTCGCCGGCCAGCTTCAGGATGTCAATGGGGATGCGCTGGCGCTGGGCGGCGAAGATGGCATTCATGACGGGAATGTACTGCGAGGCCAGGTCGCCCGACACGCTGAGGACCAGGATGCGCGACGTCAGCGAGGCGCGGGCCTGGGGCGCGTCGGCGGCGGCGGCGGCGACGAGATCGGCGGCGCTGTTGCTGTCGCCCACCTGCGGCGCCGACTTGAGCGTGGCTTTCGCGATGTAGGCGAGGGCGGTGGTGAGGGCGCCGGCGATCAGCGTCGTCGTGCTGGCCTTCAGGTCGGCCTCGCTGGTCTGCGCCATGACGGCGCGCAGGTTGGCCAGCAGTTCTGTCTCGACGTTGCGAAACGGGCGGTACTTGTTCGCGTCGTCCATGCTTGGCGTGTCTGCCATGTCGACGTCGCCATCTGCCCTCCCATTGCTTCCTTTATCGCCGTTTGCTGTGCTGCGGCCGGGGGCGTTTGGTGGATGCGGGGTGGGATACAGCCATGTTGCCTGTTGGGTATGGCTTGCGAGCACGGCGACTTGGTTGGCAGAGTTGATGGCAAGGTGGGCGTTTATGAAGACGAGCAGGTTCGCTATGGCCTTGGACAGCGGCAGGGTCGAGGATAGGTAGGCCCATGCGTGTGGGTTGGTGTCGATGATGAGGGTCAGCAGAGATGGAGGCGGGCCTGTGGACAGATGAGCGATGTCGAATGCACGGCGGCAGAGGGATGCTTGGTACCGTCGAAGCCTTTGTAGCTGCGCTCGGTCGCGTCGACGGCCTCCATGACGCGGATGGTGGTGCAAGCCTGAGCGAGTAACAGCACCAGCTCCGACGGCTCCAAATCCTCGAGCAGCGGAGACGGCGCCTGCGTGATGACTAATGGCACGCCGGGGTTGAGCCGTGGCGCTGCGGCGCTGCTATTGGATGGAAGTCGGGCCGCTTCTTCCGTTTCCCAAGACGTCCCCGTTTGCGGAGGCTTACATCATCTCCTCCTCCTCTCATTTGCTCTCGACTTTATATTTCCCCACAGTGTGGCTTGCGTGACCCACAAGCTGCTGTGTTACCGTTGTTTTGCCTACCGTATATTGTGCATTATTGAGGCCGTGGGTGCGGGGCTCCCTCCTTTCTTCCTCTTCTCATACACATTCGAGCAGTTTGATTTCCTTCTCCTGTATATTCTTCCTCCTCTCTAGTTTAGTCATGACATTCCAACCTGCCAACAATGGCGACTCGTCAACTTGCGTTATTGAGCTCCAAAATACATCCCAGGTCCTCACCACGCCACCATCGGTAAGGCGTCAAGGGCCTGAGAGTATCAAAAGTGTCCACAGTTTATCGCTGTCTCAAGTTCCTCGTGATAGCGGCAGCAGAAACGATGATCCTGTCGAAACCCTACCTTCGCCTACAACCGCCACCGAGAAGCTACAGAGATGGAACCATCCGCGCGTCAACACGTGGCGTACCTTGTCCGCTTTCTGGAGCTTCTTCATCATGGGAGCCAACGACGCTGCATACGGAGCCCTCCTGCCATATGTAATTCCTTCTCCCTCTGCCAGATGATGCGAGTCTGACAAGTGATTCCTCTGCAGCTCGAGGAATACTACGGCCTCTCGTACACCATCGTCTCTCTCGTCTTCCTCTCCCCGCTTCTCGGCTACTGCGCGTCTGCTCTGCTCAACAATACCATTCATCTCAAGTTCGGCCAGCGTGGCATAGCTTTCCTCGGTCCCATATGCCACCTGATCGCCTACGCCGTTATGGTCGTGCACCCTCCATATCCCGTTCTCGTCGTCGTCTTCGCAATCGCCGGCTTTGGGAACGGTCTCGAGGATGCTGGCTGGAACGCATGGATGGGGGCCATGGCCAATGCCAATGAGATCCTCGGTTTCCTGCACGGCTTCTACAGTGTCGGTGCCACCGTCAGTCCTCTCATCGCCACCAGCATGATCACCAAGGCGAACTTGCAGTGGTATCAGTTCTACTACGTCATGGTACGATACGCCGTCTTCCCCTTTTTTCCAACCTCACCTATCTCACCAACCCCCCACAGGTCGGCACCTCCTTCCTCGAACTCATCTTCTGCCTCACCAGCTTCTGGCACGCCACCGCCACCATCTTCCGCGCCCAAAACGCCAAAACAATCACCAGCACCACCTCCCCCTCCCCCAAACACGAAAACCGCATGCGCGAAACCCTCACCCGCCTCCCCTTCGCCCGCACCACCTGGCTGATCGCCGCCTTCCTCCTCGTCTACGTCGGCGTCGAAGTCGCGCTCGGCGGGTGGATCGTCACCTTCATGCTGCGCGAGCGGCACGCGCAGCCGTTCGCGAGCGGCATGACGGCGACGGGCTTCTGGCTGGGCATGGCGGTGGGGCGCGTCGCGCTGGGGTTCGTGACGCCGCGCGTGGGCGAAACTCTCGCCATCGGCATCTATCTGCCCGTGTGCGCCGCGCTGCAGCTCGTCTTCTGGCTGGTGCCGCGGTTCCTGGTGAGCGCGGTGGCGGTCGCGCTGCAGGGCTTCTTTCTGGGGCCGATGTTCCCCGGCGCGGTGGTGGCGGCGACGCGGTTGCTGCCGCGGCATTTGCACGTCGGCGCTATTGGGTTTGCTGCTGCGGTGGGGGGTGGGGGGGCGGCGGTGTTTCCGTTTGCGGTGGGGGCGGTGGCGCAGGGGAAGGGGGTGTGGGTTTTGCAGCCGTTTGTGTTGGCGCTTTTGGTGGGGTGTTGGGGGATTTGGATGGGGTTGCCGAGGATGGGGAGGAAGAGGGAGTAGGGGGGGCGGATGGGTTATGGTCGACTTGGCTTTTGAGAGGAGGGGAGGGGATTTTGGGGAGGAGGAGGGATTGAGCAGGGCGGTGGGGACGCTGGCCTGCGTAAGTCAGTATGCTCTTGGCTTTTCATCCACGATATGACATTTCATGGCGTTTGGTAGGGGCATTAAAAGTAAGTAGAAAGATAGACGCCTTGACTTTTCGCTTGTGAAGGACGCTTTCTCGACGTACCTCCACGCTGTTGGGCTAGTGCTAGTACCCGTCCGTCACCTGTGCGGAGCCGCAGCAGCTGTGACGCAGGCCACTCGCACCCCCATACTCGTGCTTGGGTCTGAGCACGATCAGTCAGTGGGCCACATCCACCCTCGTTCTACGGACCGGCTATAAGGCAGTACCCAGTCGGTGCTACTCCCCTCCTTTCCCCTTCGTCAAGGCAGGTCTTCGGGTATGTAGGCAGAGAAGCCTTTGAAGTGTAAGCACGGCTGTACTTGCCGTGCTTTCCCTCACCTCACCTCACTGTTTCATTCGTTTTTCGCTCGCGTAGACATACATAACGCATTATCCGGCATTGGGACATACGCACGGAGTGGAGACGCTGCCGCTCAGCATGAATTTCGTAATGATGCGTCTCAGCACGGGGCTTCAGTGATGATTGCCCGCATCAGAGGAAACGTATGCTCCGTCTGCAGGCGTTTGGCTATAGCGCTGAGCTTATGTTATGCTGGAAGTAAAGCCGGGTAACACAGTGGCGCAGGGGGCACAGGAGAAGCCCCAGTATGGAGATTTTTCTGCACTGATTTGTGTGTTCCAGAAGAGCACACGCAAGTTTGCGAGCTTAGCAGTGGTAGATTGCAGAGTCGAAGAGAGGTGATTGGTTTTATAGGTGAAGTTGCCGGGATGGTCGGCTGATCGTAGGTCTGCTAATATATCCAGAGTGGCCAACAATCAATCAACCATTCACGGAGGATCGTGGCTGTTTGGAACTTGGTTATTCGATTGCTTCGCGGATGTACCCACCCACCAGTTGGTGGGTGTGGTGACCCGCCAGGGAGGAAAGAAACAAATGGGAGGTGGTGGCAAAGGCAGGGGTTGTTGCGGGAGGGAAAGTGATGAGGATGTTCAGTGAGGAGGCAGAGGAGGGGAAAGGATATGAGAATGAGGAGGACACAAGTAGAAGGCCAGGGCGGAGGCGTGTGCTTATGAGGAAGAGGGATGTTGGGAATGGGGGAGGAAGAGGAGCGGAGTGAAGGTTGATAGGGGATGGTTTGACCAGCTGGGAAAGTTACGAAACTCTCTACTTCTGGAACTCATAGATGAATGAGTTATTCATCTCATGTTCCATAACTCTGGGGTATTAGTCTCTCTCACTTGGAAAATTTCATATCCACCTCTGGTGTTTCAACAGATATGAAAGTGATGATGCTTGACCGGCGAAGTAGTTCTGAGCTGTAGACCATCGTAAAGAAATCTGTCATTCCAAACGTCGATAGTCACCATAAGCTCGGCTTTTAAGGATGACATGAAGAACAAGAGTATATCGGGCACATCTATTTCTCCGGGGAAAATCAAACCTGCTTGAGAGGGTCTTCAAACGACCCTCCTTGAAGAGCCAGATAAGGGGTCGGCAAAGGAGGGCACGTTTAAGCTACGGCTGCGTCTTGGCCCTCAAACTGCCCCATGGTCTCCGTGCACTATCAAATCTGGCGCAGAAACTCGTACCGTGCTGATGGGGTCTCTACGTCTACTCGGAGGCCGGAAAACCACGTATGCAGCCATGCACCGAATTGGCCAAGGGCCGTCGGGCACCCGCACGTTGATGCTTAAACATAAATCCACCTTCATAATGTTCCAACAAAAAAAAGCAACCCAGTTCTCAGCTTCACTATGTGACGCATGTAGGGCTCTCCCGGCAACGTGACTGAATGACGTCCCTTGCATAGAACGCACTCCGCCGCCGTCTCTTCAGGTCGGTAGGCCCCAACCAAGCTTTACAAGAGAAACAAAAGCTTTTTCCTGAGAATGACCGCGGCTACCATTGAGCACTGTTACCGATCACCGTTGTTGAGTCTTAGTTCCGGCCTCTTGCATCAAGCATTAATGCTGCTGTTCATTATCCAGCATGAGCGGCATCGCTAAGATGTCTCTCCCGACCCAGTGTAGAGTTTCAAGATTGAAGTTGCATTGTCGTCAAAGACGACTGTACTCTTTAGAGTAACAGTGAAAACGAGCTTACAAGGCACTTGTAAGCGCCCTGGATACTTATCCTGTTACCCGGACCGCCAAGCAATTCCAAAAACCAAAGTCACCAGCATAAATCCCAACAGCAACCATACGATGCGGTTCCAGCTCTTTTCACACGTCGTAGAAGGGGGCGCGAGGGTGGAAGCACTCCATGTTCGCGACACGAACGAGAATGCCTTGCGCACATGACAAGCGAGCCAGAAGTTTGAAAATGCTTTGTCTCTAGACCGTTCAATTCGTGTTAGCCATACCACATCCGAGCTGCCCTTACCTATCTATACAGGCAATGCAATCCCTCTATAATGCCACCCTCTTCCCGCTAAAAGAAACCTTATGTACCTCTTCGTCCCTACCTCGAACCCTCCCCACCTATGAAACCGTATCGACACCCCTACGCTTCAGCGTATCCTTCGCCGTCGTGACCTTCATTCCAATCCTATAACCTCCAGTCAGCCATCAAACCCGAAACCCCGAAAAGAAAAAGAGAAGAAAAAAAAAACGAAATACTCACCGCGCATCCAAATCATACCCCTCCCCCCACTTCGCCACCTTCTCGACCCAACTCCCACACTCCCTCAGCCTCTCCTTCCCGTCCCTCCCCAACCCATGCTCGCCCTTCTCCCGCTCCTCCGCGCGCACCTCCTCCCACAGGCAAGCGCCCATCTCGTAGCAAGCCGCGGGCAGCGTCCAGTTGTCGCGGTTCCCGCCGCGCAGCGCCGCCGCGTCGACGCACAGCACCTGCGTGAGGAGCAGCTCCTTTGCCTCAGACACTTGTCCCAAGTTGCGCATGGCCGTCGCGCGCAGCAGCGAGCGGATGCAGCGCTCGTCCAGGGGCTCGGCGTCGGCTCCTCCTCCTCCTGCCGCGGAGGAGGAGGCGCCGCGGTCCAGCGCTCCGAGCGAGAGCTCGAGGTGGGCGGGCCGCATGCGCTTGTAGCCGTTCCAGAAGTAAATGACCTCCTCGACGGGGGCGACGCCGACGGCGTCGACGACGGAGGCGGCGCCCGTCTCGGCGCGGCGGGCCTCCCACTTGGCGAGCTTGCGGTTGACGAAGGTGTCGAAGGGGAGCTGGCGGGCCATGAAGCGCTTCTTGCCCGTGTGCTTGGGGACGACGGCGAGCAGGCGCTCCGCCTCCTTCTTGTCCCGCGCGGCGGCGGCGGCGTCGCCGGCGGCCAGGGCCTCGCGGTGGAGCTCGACGTGGGCGCAGGCGGCGATGTAGTAGTACAGGCCGTGGCTCCAGTTGTTCAGGGAGACGCACTTCTGGAAGGCGGCGGCGCATTCGCGCAGGCGGTGCGCGTACATCAGGTCCAGCGAGCGCTCGAACCAGTGCAGCGCCTCGACCTGCTTGAGCTGCGGCGAGCCGCCCGCGCTGGTGCTGTCCATGAGTGCCAGCGCGTCTTCGAGCCGGCGCGCGCTTGCTAGCATTCGTGCTTCCTCCAGCAGCCACAGGTGGCTCGCCGGGTAGCGCTGCCGCATCTCGACGAGCAGGCCTGCGCACCGTTCGCGCGGGTGCGCGCCTTCCTGGCCGGGACCGGGGACGATATCGCAGAAACCGAGCATGCCGTTGTAGTATGACAGGATGATCAGCCCGGCGAGGCCGCCGTAGACGTTATCGAACTTGGTTGCTTGCCAGAGCATGGCGAGCCCGCGGTCGCGGTCACCCTTGAAGCCGACGATCTTGAGCAGCATGGCGAAGGCGGGTGGGATCATGGAGATGACGAGCATGAGGACGCCGAAGCACATGTTGGTGCCAGAGTGGATGAAAATGTCCGTAGCATCGTCTCCGAGCAGGGAAGGGTCGGTCGAGGGATGGTCGGTAGCGAGCCGTAAGGACTGGGCGTCGTCCGCGAGCTCTGAGATGTCTGGAATCTTTTCCGCGGCGGCGGCTGAGGATGAGGTTGCGGCTTCGTATGACGGAGGTGGATCCACTCGCTTCTCTTCAATCTCGAGATGTCCAGCATAGATCGGAGGTGTAGGCACGCCCTCGTGTTCCTCGTCGGCGTCGAAGAATTCGTCAGCCTCTGACAACGGCGTGCTTCCTTCGCCGAAGTCTTTCTCTTTTACCGGCAATTTACTGCTGCTTGCCGTCGTGGATGCAGCCTGAGCCATAGCAGCATTCTGCGGCGCCGCCACTCCAGCTTCAACCTCCTTAGCAGCAACCACCGACCTCGCCGACTGCGATCCCAAAGACACCCGTGGACTCCCCGCTACGCTGCTCTTCCCCAAATTCGCTTTCTCGGCCTCGATGATGGCGTCCAACGCCACGAACGCCTTCCGCATGTTGTAGAACCCCTTGATACTCTCCGTCAAGCTCTCGTTCAGCACGCCCACGATGGCGCCCATCAGCTGCGCCTGCGCGACGCAGCTGGCGAATTCTGAGCCGGCGGGATATATGGAAGATCGAGGCGCATGGCGCTGGGCCTTTCGCAGGTGTTCGGACGCGCTGTTTTCCGCGTCCTTGAGAGTGTCGGCGGCTACATCGCTCGTCGCATGGCACAAATGGCCAATTCCGTCAGTGAAAATCGTTCGTTTCCCGTCTCGGCTTCCCCCCAAAGAGATAGGCAGGGGAGGCGCGGGGCGGTTAGAGGATACCTTCTTTCATGACTTCCTGCTCGAAACCGAGAGTTGCCCTCATGAACGTGACGACGCCTTTACCTAGCTACATTCGAGAAAGCATGAGCCCAATGTCCAACCGCCCGAACGGCAACTTGCCCATATCACCCCTACGGGGCAATTTACGCGAAGCCGGGCCAGGGTATGTATGCGCGATTGGTGTGTGGTACCTTGTGAAAGGGCGACGCGCCGTCTCCGAGCAGCTTCTCCGCAGTATTGACATCATCGTTCATGATGTGAGAAACAGCTATTTTCCACCAAAGGAAAAGCAAATAAATCAGCGCTTCGTTCGGATACCTCCGGATTAGGCCCGTCGGACGCTCTGAGGGAGGGGAATTTGCGCTGTCTCACATACCACGCATGGCAGCTTCCACTACAAGTGTCACAAGCGCGTCAGCATGATCTACGCGGGAAAGAGTGTGGTGGTAGTCAGTGTAGTACGCTGCTGCGGCTCTTCCAGCGCGTTCAGCGACTGGGTCGAGCCATGAAGCCTTGCTTTCGAGCCGAGCCAGTTGCCTAGAGGCATGATGTTGGTAGTGGTCGCGACGGCTGTGGTTCGGTCTCGGGGGAAGCACGCGGCGGTTCGGGTTTGTGATTCGGGATTATAACAGAAAGGTGGAAGCTGGATGTTGCTCAAGGCGGTAGTTGAGGGATCGACGAAGCGGCAGTCGAGGTGAAGGCAACAAAGGCGGGCCAAACGCGCGGCATGAATGGGGAGTGAGAAGCGGAAGGCGAGGTGGGGGAGGGGAATGAAGGATGAGGAACCATCGACGGCATTGGACGGGGGGAGGGGAGAACGCGAAAGGCGAGACCGGGCCAGAGCGGAATTAAGAGCGGGCAAGGTTGCCTTAGCCTCGCAGCAGAGCAATAATAATACTGTTACGGCGCGCAGTAACAGGCTGCCCCAGTCGCGGTCGGTAGCAATGCGGCGCGCAAGCGTTCGATGACATCGCTGACGCGCACTGACCCGCGCCGGCATCCCTGCCCGCCGCCTTTGGAGGTGGGTCTTGGCGCCGCTGCTGCTGTGGCCGACAGCTCGCCGCAGCTGTGATCATCGTCTCGACCAATCCATCCATCCCATCGCTGCCGTAATACCACTGCGCCCCACCTCCCAACCGCCGTCCTCGTCCGCTCTCTGCACAGGCAGACACGTCTCAACCCGCGCAAGCAAACGTACCCCCGTAACCCCACCGAAACCGCTCCAGCCCGCAACCACCATGTCCGGAGCAGCGCAGGGCGGCATAGACACCAAGAAGGCCATCGTCAGCGATGCCGACAACAGTGGCACCAACAAGGACCACCAGAAGCCCGCCACTGCGTTAGAGGAGGATGACGAGTTTGAGGACTTCCCCGTTGAAGGTGAGTTGAGAAGACCGAAGCTATCTCCCGGCAAAGAACGGTAGTCAAAGCCGCCGCTGCCGTCTCGTCTGCTGCCCATCCTTGCTCCCATCTTCGTCAAGATGAATTTTCAGCACCGCAAGCGTGCTGTCGCGGGTGCCTCGTTTCGTGTGGCATAGAATGCAGGACGCCAGGCATGATTGCAGCATGCAGAGCTCCACACAGCATCGAAAAGGAAACTCCAGACCCAGAGGCTAATGCCAGAAAATCGATAGACTGGGAACAAGAGGATACCGAGCTGCCCGCCGCAAACACGCACCTGTGGGAGGAGAGCTGGGACGACGATGACACGAGCGAGGACTTCTCTGCGCAGCTGAAGGAAGAGCTGAAGAAGGTCGAGTCGAAGCGTGGTTGATAGGGCGAACAAATAGCAGGGAAAGACGGAATGCGCGACAAATGAACAGTCGAAACAACGATGAAAAGATTATCGCGTAATGAATGGAAGACCACAGGCATCCGACACGGAACAAGGTATGGCGTTGAGTCGGGAGAACAAATATCAGGCATCATCATGTCATGTCCAACTTTGTCACGGACAGGCTTGATTGTCTCATTTACGAGTGAGCGATGCAGTCCCCATTACAAATGATAGAGGAGTGACTTCACTCATCACACGCGAATAATCACAATCCTATGCTTGTGAAGGTGTCAAGATATCTTATTTGTCATCATTTACATTAAAGAACCCCATTTTTCTCCGTCACTCGTCAAAGCCTGGACGTGCTCCCTTTATTTTATGCATCCAGAATCAGAGCCGAATCAACCGGCGCCAACGATCATTACAATAATTCCATTTACTTACTCGACAGAGCAACAACACCGGGCAGGGCCTTGCCCTCGAGGAGCTCCAGGGAAGCACCACCGCCGGTCGAGACGTGGCTGAGCTTGTCCTCAACGCCGTACTTGGCGGCGACAGTGGCAGTGTCACCACCACCGATGATGACGATCTTGCCGGACTGGGCGGCGGCGACGGCCTTGTCGAGGGTGGCCTTGGTGCCGCTGGCGAACTTCTCGAACTCGAAGACACCGGCAGGGCCGTTCCAGAGGATGGTCTTGGCCTCGTCAATGGCCTCGTTGTAAAGCTTGACGGACTTCTCGCCGCAGTCGAGACCCATCCAGCCATCGGGGATACCCTCGGCATCGGTGGCGTAGCCGGTGTTGGCGTCCTTGTCGAACTTGTCGGCAGTGATGAAGTCGACGGGCAGGACGAACTTGACGTTGTTCTTCTTGGCCTTCTCAACGAGGGCGGGAACAGTCTTCGCGCCGGCCTCATCGTAGAGGGAGTCGCCAATCTTCATGTTCTCCAGGGTCTTCTTGAAGGTGAAAGCCATACCACCGCAGATAACGATGGTGTTGACCTTGTCGAGCAGGTTGTCGATCAGCTGAATCTTGTCCGAAACCTTGGCACCACCAAGGATAGCGATGAAGGGACGCTGAGGGCTCTCCAGGGCCTTGGCGAAGTACTCGAGCTCCTTCTTCATGAGGAAACCGGCAGCCTTCTGGGGAAGCTGGCAGCCGACCATGGAGCTGTGGGCACGGTGGGCAGTACCGAAAGCGTCGTCTGATCATTGTCAGTTATTCAGTCCTGCAGAGTTCACTTGATTGAGGGCTTACTGATGTAGACATCACCAAGCTTGGTGAGGCCCTTGCGGAACTCCTCAACGGCGGCGGGGTCGGCCTTGACCTTCTTGCCGTCAGGGCCCTTTGAGCTACCCTCCTCCTCAATGTGGAAGCGCAGGTTCTCCAGGAGGACGATCTGGCCACCAGTGGCCTTGTTGACGGCCTCCTCGGCCTCGGCACCAACGCAGTCGCTGGTGAAGACGACGCTCTTGCCAAGAAGCTTCTCGAGCTCGCCGACAACGGGCTTGAGGCTGTACTTCTCGTTCTTCTTGCCGTCAGGGCGGCCAAGATGGGACATCAGGACGACGGCCTTGGCGCCATTGTCGACAGCATACTTGATGGTGGGGAGAGCACCGACGATACGCTGGTTGTTGGTGATCTTCTTGTCCGAGTCGAGGGGAACGTTGAAGTCAACCTGCGGGGCATGTTAGCAGCGACTTCTTTGCTTGGTGTATCGGCATGCTAGTGTACGTACGCGGATCAGGACGCGCTTGTCCTTGAGATCGACGTCGGTGATGGCGAGCTTGTTGGAGAGCGACATGGTGGGGTGTGCTGTGGAAATCTGCACGGCGTGTCAGTTGCGTCTGCAGGACTCATGACTGCGATGGCTGAGAAGGCTCAAGAGGCATGCATGCGCAATGCGACGGTGGTGCTGCGACGCAAGGCCCCTGTGAGAGGTGACTCTCAGGCGTCCGTGGAGGGGTAGCTGCGGCGGCAGAGGGCGGCAACGCTCCTCGTCAAGTCGCAGACATTGGCGGGCAGCGGGGACAATGGGCAAAGGCGAATGGACGGCATACCTGGGTATCTCTGAGAAGGGTGCAGTGTTGTTGAGAGTTGAGAGAGAGGATGGTGGGCAAGCTCGATGTTTTGTGCCTCGCGCGGCGGGGTCTTAAATGTGGTGGGGCACCAAGCCCTAGGGTGACGTTTTAGTGGTTTTTGGCATTTGACATAGCACCACCAGCCCGCCGCACAGACTCGCAGACGCCCGCCTCGCGAGACTCTTCAGCCCGGGCACAGCGTGATCTTTCGAGATAACACTGAAATCGGCTGACTAGACCCTCTCGTGCGTCTCATCCCAACTCCACCACGCCTCCCTCTACCAAAAAAAAAACACCGCACTCCTGCCGCGCTCCTGCCAGGCGGGCCTTGCCGAAATCCTGAGGCTGCTGAGACGAAGCGCCCATTCTGCGGCCCCCCGTCACCACCCGACCTGCAGCTGCAGCGCCGCAGGCCCGGTAGCGTGATAGCCGACGTTCCGACTGCTCCGGACGACGGTCCTCTTCACCTGAGGAGGGAGAATAAAGCGCTCATCACCCTTCATTCCGTATCTGCTTATCCTGATGCCGTTCGACTGCACTCGATTCGCCCCTCGTCCGCGTTACCCTGATGTCCCACCTCGTCGATGCTGACATCCAAGGCCGCCAGGAGCGTGGGTGGTGAGTTGTCTCGCCTTGCCGTCCGCTCTGTACGCATTTGATCTCCGATGCTCCTTCGCGGCGCCGACTTTCTAGAAAGAAGTGGCCGGTAGCGGAGCATTTGGTGGGCTGTCACCTCATTCGGGCCGGTGAAACAGGCGGATTCCGCGCCTGAGGCCCATCGCTCGCCACGATACGGACAACTTGGCCTACGCGTACTCACTGAGATTGAGTTCCGAGGTACTTTCGATGGAGTAGAGATCATTGGAGACGACGTCGGCTGGCACTCTTGCCCCGACAACCGGACAACCGGCGACAGACCAATCACATGTGATTGATCGACCCTTCAGGATTGCATTCCCAGTACCTACGAAGCAAGAGCAAGGAACAGAAGGGTCTAGGTGGTGTTTCAAGGGTTTTCGACAAGTGCTGAATTGTTCGTACTGTGCGCTGCTGAGTCGAGAGCTGTCGGACCCTTCCCGCATTTCCACAGGACTATCCATTCCATTAAGCGGTTCAAACGTTCAAACCTTGATCCTAGATTATTTACAGGTCATTGACAGCATTACAAGGTAAACCAACGCCCCTTATGCTATCAAAACTGGTATCGGCTCCCAAACACAAGGGAAAAAAGTGAAGACAGCAATCACAACATTCCGCGCTCCAGAAACCTTACGGGCAGATCCACATGCCTGGCTCGCAAGAACTCGGCCACGTTCTTTCCCAATACATCATACGTCCCTGAACAGCTTACACCCCGGTCAAGGTGCTCGTGCAATAGGAAGTGGACTGCGCGCATATTTGGCAATTCGAAGCGATCCTACGCACGAAAAACGAACTCCGGTTAGCAAGCACGATACTGAAACCACAACCAGAAACCGCTTTCCTCTTCACAGGACCGCCATTAAGGCAAAAAACAAAAAACAAAAACAAAAGGAGACAAGGTAGGCGGAGAGAACTCACGATGGGTTTTCCCTTGAACTCATCTGCCAACAACTCCTCCATCTTGGCCACACTCAACAACCCCCTCAGCCAGTCCCATTCATCCTGATGCCGAACCCAGAAACCAACGTTGCAATCACTGCCCTTGTCGCCGCTGCGCGCGTGCACCAGCCACCCCAACGGGCCTCGCACCGTTTTCCCAAACGCCGTAGCAGGGTCCATGGTGCCGCCAGTCGTAACAGGCTGACTGGGCTGCCTCTTGTCCCAAACGCGCGTCTGCGGTGGCGGCGGGACATCCAGCGTCTCGCCGCCGCCGCCACGCCAGGGCAGATGGACGCGGTGCAGGACGTCGGCCTGCGGCAGCAGCGTGACGTAGTACTCGTGGATGGGGCGGGGGAAGGCCATACGGAGGTCCAGGTGCGGGGTGGCTCCAGGGTATCCCTGCATGATGGGGTCGATGCAAGGGCGGACGAAGTGTTGGGGGGCGAGGGCCTCGGCGACGGGCGCCTGCGCCAGCACGCGCAGGTCGACGGTGGCGGCGGCCTGGCTGGTCGGGTTCTCGGCGGCGGTGCCGTGCAGGGTGAAGGTGAGCTTGGAGAGGCGCTGCAGGCGCGCGGGCCCGAGCTGCTTGCGGGTCTGCCGCTCCATCATGCGCGCCTTCGCCGCGATGTCCAGCCCGACCATGAACCAGTGGAACTCGGCTTGGTAGCCGCCGTGCGCGGTCAGGCCGACCTTGGTGGTTGGCGGCGGCGGCGCCGACTTGACGCCGTGCAGGGCGACGCGGTCGGTCGTGAGCTGCTCGAACCAGACGGAGTCGAGGAGGGCGGTCACGTCGGAGTTGAAGTACCAGGGGCCTTGGATTTCGTAAAGCAGTTGAGAGGAGCACGTGTTGGTGGAGACTTCGCCACCGGAGCCCTGGCTCTTGGTGATGACGACGCCGCCTTCGGATGAGACCTCCGCGATGGGGTATCCGATGTCGTCCCAACCTTTGTCTTCGAGGGCCTTGAAGCCGGTGTAGTTGCCACCGCATACGTAGTTGGAGCACTCTATCAAATGGCCGGCTACGAAAGCGTTGGCAAGTTGGTCGAGATCGGTCCGCTTCCAGTTGTGCCACCAGAACGCAGAGCCGATTATAGGAGAGGCGTCTGCTACTCTTCCGCAAATGACGATGTCTGCTGATGTTAGCATTGTGATGGTGGACTGGGGCGGCGAATTGATATACCTGCACCATTGGCGAAAGCGGCTGCGATGCCCATGCCTCCCAAATATGCTTGTGCATAGATGGGTTTGAACTTCCAGTCTTTAAGGGTCTCCCCAGTGTATATGTTCTCGAATTGGGAATTACCCAACTCTAGAGATTTCTGGACTGCGGGCAACACTTCATCGCCAGATATCCACGCCACCTTCAAGTCCAATCCTTTGCTTTTCACCAACTTCGTCACTACTTGACTGAGCTTCTCAGTGTCGGAAGCTCCTGCATTGACGGCAACTTTGATTTTGTGTCTTGCAAGGTTTGGTAGCGCTGGCTCGAGTGCTTCAAGGAAGCTAGCTTCGTAGGCATTACCGGATGCTGTACTAGCATTAGTGGTTGCTTTAGACTGAAAACTTCGAGGTCACTTCGCACCCGCGGTCTTCATGGAGCCTTTCGTAGTCATATTGGCTTCTGACATCCAGTCTCCGATGATGACGTCGACAGGGTCGCTCTGGTGGTTGGCTGCGAAAAGGCGCATGGCATCGCGGCGGTCGACGCTCGAACCGGAGCATCCTGTCCTTGAGTGAGCGGTAAGACAATCGAAGAGTGCTCAATGTAAAGTAAGGTACCTCCAATACGGATTGGTCGACTCTCAGGCATGCTGTCAGGTATTATACTGAGAAGAGAACAAGATGTATGAGCGCGATGTTAGTGACGGCGGGGTGAATGAGCGAGCCGGGGGCGTGTCACGGAATTATATGGAAAGGTACAATGAAGACGAGATTCTTGCGTCACGGGCGTTTTATTCTTATCGGCTCCCCGCTGCTACTGCAGGGTCCGAGGTTCGTGGCTTTGCTCACGTCTCGAATGGGGAGAAGCTTGAGGGGTCGTAGCCGGAGTACCGACGCGGCGGGCCCGGAATGCGGGGTGAGCCTCAAGCCACCCCGTAGGAGCTGAACGCTTAGACAGCGTGCGGCCTAAACCGTCAGCATTATTTTTATAGTCCACGGATAAGCATCGGTTACTGTAGCCGGGAGATTACAGAATAGCGTCGACGTTTAGCGACTTCTCCTGATCGCACAGAGTGGCGAAGCGATGAGGGTACATCTGCATGTTGCAGTCGGGGGCCAGCGCGGTATTCATAAAGGTCGGCTTACTTGATAATGGCATGTACAGTAAGATCAGGATGGTCAGATGAAGCTTTGTGCGATACAAAACGTCCGTCGTCGGGCCGGCGAAAGCTTCAACTGCTCGACCACGTTGCAAGAGCAATTAAGCCAGCCGACCATGTACATACTTTCCCCGAGGTTTTGGTGATAGCTGTCTTTGTGATGTGACAGGTCAGAATCGCATTGGTTCGCAGAAAAAGCAAATACATGCCTGCATTCTGCTGCGACACTCCCCTGTCTGCAACCTGGTTTGCCGTACTGGTTCGCCCAACATGATAGGCCTGATTCCAGCACACCTGCCGGTTGACAATTTTCTGGAGGAAAGAAATACACGCGGGCCGCCGGATGCAGGAAGAGGTACTGCAATGACAAGGGTGTCAAAGGTGGGGGGCTGGCCACGGCTTTCTGCATGGAAACTATGAAAGGATCTGCAAAGAAACAACTCCCGAAAAACGTAGCCTCAACATAGCAACAAAGAGTTGGGCAGAATGCCGACGGTGTTGGGAGCAAATAACGACAAGCGCAAGGCAACAACGGTCATGTGATCTCGCGCCTAGTCTTAATCGCCACCGCGACGCGCCCGCACCTTCCTAAACTTCCCACGCGTCGCCTCACAACTTCCGCGTCTCCCCGCGCAGAAGACCAGCCACTTGCGCCAGACATCCCGTTCTCGAGCACACTCGTACCAGTGCTGCCTGTTCACCAATCTTTCCCCTCCACGCCCATCATCGCCACCATGAGCACCGAAGAGGATCCCTCGCAGTCCGGCTACGATGACAGCATGGCAGGGCCGGGCGCCCCTACGCCTCTGAGTGCTCTTGAGGTATGCATTCGCTCCGTGAATCGGCAAAGTCATTCGTTCCCATGTCTAATGGTTTGTTGCAGGGTGTGAACGGTCTGACTGCACGCGACATCAAGCTCGTTGTAGATGGCGGCTACCACACGGTAGAGTCCGTGGCGTATACGTGAGACGCACAGTTTGACTATGCCGGTGGCGGATGCTGACATGATACAGACCCAAGCGTATTCTCGAACAGATCAAGGGAATCTCGGAGCAAAAGGCGACGAAAATCCTGGTCGAGGGTAAGTGCACCATGCTTGCATACAGAGTCCATCTAACGAAAGACAGCGGGGAAGCTGGTTCCCATGGGCTTTACCACCGCGACAGAAATGCACCAGAGACGTAGCGAACTAATCTCCATTACTACCGGCTCAAAGCAGCTCGACACTCTCCTCGCTGGCGGTATCGAGACTGGATCAATCACGGAGATATTTGGAGAGTTCAGGACCGGAAAGAGTCAAATCTGTCATACTCTTGCTGTGACATGTCAACTCCCTTTCGACATGAGTGGCGGAGAAGGCAAATGTCTGTATATTGACACAGAAGGCACTTTTCGGTACGTTTCCCCCCGTCCCATCCACAATTCGGATCGCTCATATGCTTTAGACCCGTTCGTTTACTGGCAGTGGCCAACCGCTACGGATTGTCGGGCGAAGAAGTCTTGGACAACGTCGCGTACGCCCGCGCATACAACTCAGACCATCAGCTCCAACTTCTACAGCAGGCTGCGCAGATGATGACAGAAACCCGTTTCTCGCTTCTCATCGTCGACTCGGCAACTTCTCTTTACAGAACGGATTTCGCGGGTCGTGGAGAGCTTTCGGCACGCCAAGTCCATCTTGCCAAGTTCATGCGCACCCTGCAGCGCTTAGCCGACGAATTTGGCATCGCCGTCGTCATCACAAACCAGGTCGTGGCGCAAGTTGATGGTGGCCCCAGTGCGATGTTCAACCCCGATCCGAAGAAACCTATTGGCGGTAACATCATCGCGCATGCCAGCACTACACGTCTAAGCTTGAAGAAGGGTCGCGGTGAGACTAGGATATGCAAGATCTATGACAGCCCATGTCTTCCCGAAAGTGATGCCATGTTCGCTATCAACGAGGACGGTATCGGCGATCCCAGCCCGAAGGACCTGGAGAAGGAGTAGAGAGGCCTTTCGATAGATGAGTACCCCGGCACATTATAATGGCGAAGCGTGGCTATGGAGCACGATGCAACGATAGGCTTTGCTCTCGTTGGCTGGTAGCATGGATGGCGAAGGTATAGGGCGTGTTTTTCGGTGTTTGCTGAGCATGGGCGTCTGCGGTCATTTGCTTCGAACTTTATGGTCTATCCTGCTTACATATGTACAAATGAAGCACAAATATTGCTGTGAATCGCAAGGTTGCTGAGTTCTACAGCGTGTCGTTTGAATTTACATACGTGCAGCAGCTGTGGCTGGTGTTTGTGGCGGGTGCACGCGCGCGATCGTCGGTGTCGAATCCCTGTCATGTTCAGGCGTGTCGAAGCTCGAGTTTGAGCTCACAAAGCTGCTCCGCCCGACAACACCGCGTCCGTCCATTGCGCTTTCCCGCGAACACCGCCTCGACCTCCAAGCGCCCGATCCGCGCTGAATGGCGCAGCGATGGCTACCTCTACCGCTCCTCTCCTCTACCGGGAAACGCGACTGAACCTCGATCCGCCCTACGCAGGCTCTACTATTGGCGTCACGCTCCCGCCTCATAGCACCTCCGCTTTCCTGTCGCGTCCTAAGGGCAAGCGCATTATCGTTGAAGAGGGCAACACTAGCTCCGATGAGACGTCCTTCGCCCGCCGCCACCTCGCGGCCAACGACGCCTCCATCTTCTTCCGGCGCAAACATCCATACCCGCGGACTTTCCTGTGGAGGATTCTGGACGATCGCAAGGTCCTAGAGCTGCGCTCGGTAGACTTGACTGTCGACCGTCACCACAAGGGAGAGGCCATCCTGACGCTATTGCTGAGCTTTCCCAATGCCATCCGTCCATTTGGCGTTGCTCTAGCCGAGCGCGATGACCGCGACGCGCTCAACGTCTTTGTCTTGACCACCGCGAATGAGCTCTACACGTTGGACCTACACAAGGATTTCTTCATCCGCCCCGCCGCTACCGAGATCGACGTCGACGTCTGGTGCAAGACCTGTGTTCCCTCCGCGTTCAGCTTCCGCTACCCCTACCGCATAGTCGCCAGCAGCGCGCTTGAGCTGTTGGTCTCGCTACATGACGGAGGTCTGCTTCGCTTGAACCGAATCGCTGCATCCGATGGTATGTCCGGGATTGGCTATGTATTTACTCATGCGAGCATGGCTAACTATTCCAGGTTCCTCCTGGCGTGAAACGTTCTTCTCCGAAGGTGGCTGGGGTTCGGCCTTTAAGAGTTTGATCCCATGGAAGGGGCACAATACCGTTCGCTTTGGCACCTTAGACCTCGAGGCATCGACTGCTGCCGCCATTGCCTTGTCACCAGACGAGAAGCACATCTTCACGGTCTCTCTGAACCATACTCTGAAGGCTTGGAACCTGGAAACCGGCAAAGTTGGCATACAGACGGATTTGCTTGGCGAGAATGAAAGGGACCCTCAAAAGCTGGCTCAATTCTTCATCGGTGCGGAGCAGCCAAAACTGATGGAGGTTCTAGAGGTTCAGGCTCCGCAGGACGGCGACGAATGTTTTGTCGTCACGTACTCGCCGAAGCGCCACCAATTCAAGTTTTGGGGGGTTAGGGACGCTGACGACGTGGAGTTCGGCATTCACGACGTTCAATCAGACTTCGTTTTCGTGCCGCCCGTCGATGAGCTCATGAATACGACCGTCTGGAACATGGAAGAATTCCATTTCAAAGCTCGGCCCGGCTGGAGAAGCTCTGAACTCTGGATCCGTGTCAGGTCAGGTCCCAGATGTATGGTCTTCTCGCTAAAATTCGACCTTTACGATTCGACGGAGCAGCTTGCCGACACCTGGAAAAACAATTGGGTGGCTGTAGACTCCGGCTCACTCACGGTGGAGGCTCTGAGGGCTTCACCCGCACACCCGATTGAGCCGACGCTCGAAGACCCATCGATCCACTCGCAAAACGTTTCTGAGCAGTGGATCGATTTCTTGTTTTACCCCGGTCGCTTCACAAGCGCGACGCTTGAAACTGCTCTGTGCGTCTACCGGCGTGGCCTTGGCGACTCTGCCACTCGTACACTCGTATTGAGCTCCAGTGCCAAGGCACCGATCAAGGACCAAATTTCAGCCGCCGTCGCCGCGAAGGTTCCTACCAGGCAACTTCCAGATGGTCAGATCGATTTCGATCAGTATGAGCTCGACATGGCGGGGCAGTGGCAGGTCTTCTATGGTGTCGTAAAGGACTTGCACAAGCGCCGGGGCGAGCCGGTTGCACTAGCGCTTGACGTTGAGGATGACCTTCCCTGGCTGCTGCTATCAGACTACGCATCGCCAATCAGGGCATGCAGCGAGGTAGAGATCCTGCGCTTGAACGACGAAACCCTTGTCCCTCCTGAGGAGCCTGCACTCTCAAGACCGCTTTTCAAGGCACTGAAGGATGACCTATCGATAGATGTCGCCAAACTTCTCGCTGCCGCTTCTTCCTTCCGCAATTCCTTTGTCGCTTCGTTCCGGGATCAATTGGCACTCGCTGTCAAACGAGAAATCTGCCAGGAAGACTCGTATTCGATCCCTGATCGCATGAAAGCCTTCGAGGCTTGCTGCGGTCTGTGCGAGCAGGTTACTGACGAGGATTTTGAGAAGCTCGAGTCGTTGCTCGAGGACCTTGGTGGTTTCGGTGGCGTAACACAGGAGCTTGTGTTGGCAGCGTTAGAACGGCTGGTAGAGGATGAACGAGGCCACCATCACGAGAGAGCCATCACCGCTTACGGTGCGAAGTCCCTGATTAGAGGCGCTCAGGAGACTCTGAACCTCACGCACGAGATTCTCCTGGACCTTCTTGTGCTCATTGTTTTCATGAGTCAGGAGCTCGAAGCTCATGAGACACCTGCATTGAAGCCTACCGACATCTACCCTGACATAATCGAGAGACTGAAGGGCATCACCATTTCCAAGTGGTTGGTGGCTACGGTGCGAGCTGACCCGAAGCCGCGGTCAAGACGAAGCTCTGTTGGAGAGCCAAACCAAACGGAAAACCCGGTAATAAAATCGACAGCAGTGGTGACATTGTTCGAAAGCCTCTTCATCGGCGATTGGGCGGAACTGAAAACTCCTTCGGCATCCACCTCTGAGCTCATCACTTACTGGTGTCGCTCGTGGTCGTTCGGTCTTCCACTACCCGAGAACTGGGAGTTTGTGGGAGCTGGGGTCCTGAGCAACCTGCTGAAGTACGGCAACTTGGATTTGGCCACCGACTTTTTGCCGTTCGTTCCAAGCAGCATCTGGGGAACCTATCTCAAAGGGCGGTATTACCTCGCTGTCGGAGACTTCAAGCTGGCCAGCACATATCTCAACAGAGTCAGCTTTGGATGTGGTAAGCCGCGTTTTCACACTGTTGTGAGTGGAATTAACCCTGATTGACGTGTAGCGAAAGGTTTCTTCGACATCTTCAACACCGACCATTACAATTTCCTCAGCCCTAGCGAGAAGGGGTACTTCCACGAGGGCCTGACAAGGTTCTGCCAACATGTCATGTATCTCTTCGAAAAGGCAAAGGCGCACACGTACGTCATTCAATGGGCAGAGGCTGCGTTGTTTGCAGTTCAAACCGAGGACCACGAGCAGGTGTGTACCGACATTTATGGTGTCTGAGTTGTGCTGACGAGCGGCAAGACCAAGATGCTGAAGCAGGAAGTGCTGTCTCGACTCTTCCACGCCTGCGTGCAATGTTCAAATTTCCGCGAGGCGTACGGCGCCCTATGCCGGTATCCCGACAACAACCTGTGAGTCCGGGACGATTTACCTGATACACATTCAATTTCTGACACGTGACTCGTAGCCGAAGATCCGCCCTGACGATGTTGGTCAAGACGATGATCAAGCAGAAGCAGATGCCCCTGCTCATCAGCTTCCCCTTCACCAGGCAGCTGGAGGACGTGGATGCGATTCTGGCTGGACTGTGCAGAGAGACGCTCAGCGTGAGCAGCGGGCCGCCCTTCCACCGGCTGCTGTACGCCTTCCGCATCGCCAAAAATAATTATCGGGGGGCGGCGCAGATCTTGTATGATCTTATTACGCGGCTCCAGGCGTCGTCTGCAGCGCTGCAGGACCCCACGGACGAGAGCATCACGCAGGCGTACCTGACGGTCATCAACACGCTCAGTCTGGTGAACGAGCAGGACCAGTACCTGCTGGTGGGGCAACGCGAGAGCGAGGGCGGGCTGAAGGGCGCAGCCGAAGGCAAGGCGGCTTCTCGGAGGAGGCTGATGACCTTGGAGGATTTGCGCAGGGAGTACCAAGCCGAGCTGGACCGTGTTGCGGCTATGGAGACGGGCCGTTTCGCGTTCAGTGCAGGCGGCGATGCCATGGACGTGCTGTGACTGAGGGGTTAAATAAAGGAGAAAAGCAATAGAGCACGGCGACCAAGGAAGCGGGGACCGAGCATTGATGCGGTGGAGGTGAGGGACGAAGGGGCACTAATGGCAAAAGACACTGGGCATGCTGTTTCACGGACGGGTTCGATCAATAGCGAGGAGTTATACGGGGTGGCATGGCTGGCCGATCGGGGAATTTCTATTTTTGTCGTGTGGACACACCGCTCTCGCTAGCCCGACGGGGTGTTTTGCTGGATGCTCGTGAGCGTGGAGCGTGTCTCGCTGTCTGGCACGCGCGGGAAGTTGCCGTCTTGGGGAATTGGCTGGGGGGGGGGGATGGGTTGGCGCGGAGTGATGGGCGTGCTCCTGTGTGACGAGATTGCTATCTCGCTATCTCGGCGGCATGGGCAGCCGGGGAAGGCGCAACGCCAATCCCCTAGGTAGGTACTGGCGGCCACCGCGGGCAGCCGACGCAGGCCCAATTTGGCATTGCGTCAGAGCAGAAGTTGCGACCCAATCCCTGAAGGATTTCGACGGATCCGCAGCCACGTTCCTCGTGTTGCTGTGTCGCGCCGCCCTGCCTGCCTGCCTGCCTGCCTGCCCGCGCCTTCGCCCTCTGCCATGGCCTGAGGCCAATGATGGCTCCCGCCCTCCCACTCACCTCGACGCTCTCTTCCAATCACCCGCTGCAGATGCCGCCGCGGCCGTCGACCACGCAGCCCCAGCAGCTCTCCACGCCTCCACCACTGCCACCACCGTCACGCCTGCTGTTTCTCCACAGCCAGGCCCGGCGCGACACCCAATACTTGCTCCAGGATCGCGGGAACGAAAGCAGCAAGCCCGGTCGCAGCCCTCAGCCCTCCGCGCGCGCGAGCACGCCGCCCTCTCAGTCCTTATCTTCTGCCCCGGCCTCCGCATCTTCTGCTGTTTCGCCCGCGTCTGGGAATACGCAACCGCCCGACCCTCCTTCTCCATCGCCGCCCGTGGCAGCGCAACCTGCCCGCTCGTTTTTCTCTTTTGCCTCGCCCTCGCCCTCGTTTGCGTCTCCTTCGTCTTCCCCGCCCGTTTCTAATAATAATGCTCCTGTCACCACCATTGAACACGCATCACCAGCGCACGTCTCAAAACCTGCACCCGTTGCCTCTTCCAGACGCCCTTCAGCCTCATCCTTCGAGCCTGGACATAAGCCCGACCGCCTCGTCAGCCCCCACCAACATCGCACCAGCTCCACACCAGCACTGGCGCATAGTTCCGCGCGCCAGTCGCAAGCACAGCAGACGCGGCAGCCTGACGCGCAGTCAGCCGCGCACGCACCCACGACGCAAGCCACGCCGTGCGGCCTCTTACAGGAACCGCGAGGACGCCAACAAAAGTCTGCAGAGCCCGTCATGATGCACAAACATCGCTCGACTTCATCGCTGCTCGAGAGGAGAGGATCAATCATGGGCGCCAGGAATTTATTCTCTTCTTCTTCGTCGTCGTCTTCGCGGGAACCCGGTACGCACGGCGCGGCCGAAGTGGAGAAGCAGTTGCAACGGCCGCGGACCAGTGCCGGCGCCGCCGAGGCTAGTCCGACCAAGAGCAGGTTCTCGAGACTTCGGTACCACCGGAATCGCAAAACGACGACGGCCGCCGCCCCAACGGAAACGGAAAGGACTCCTGTTGTTGAGCGCCAGGAGAACCAGCTGCGGCAACGGCATCAATCGACGCTGGGACAGCTCCCTGAGGGAGCATTTTTGGACTTCGACGATGATGCATCCGACTCGGAGAGCAGGCCGTCGACATCGAGCAGCGTTGCCAGCAGCGTGAAGAGCAGTGGTGGATGGAGCTGGTCGATGAGGGGCAGGAGGAGCAGTGTCAGTTTAAGAGAGCGGTGGAGAGCAAGGTACGTTTATTATTTCCTATTTTGGCCTTTGGCCGTCTTCTGGAAGAGTTATGCAGGGTGCCGTCTTGACTCGGCCATGCTTGTCATCGATATCAGTCTGTCTTCTATTATATCTCGCGGCTCATTTGACTGACTTTCGTTTCGCAGCAGCATCTCCTCCTCGTCATCGACTTTATCTTCATCCTCATCATTCTCGTCCGCATCTTCTTACATTTCCTCAGCCTCGTCATCCTCATCTAGTACTTGGGACTCCCTCGATTCTACCCCTCGTGCCTCTATCGCCTCATCCCGCACCTCCTACTCTAGCGATGAAGAGGCGGCCCCTCCTCAAAAAACCGACTCGGGAAAACTCCGCCCCACGAAAACCGTCCGAGCATACGTTTGCCGCCATTTCGTCTCGATACCCATCCCGGAGGAGGAGGAGCCAGACACCGCATCCACCTCCGACGCAATCCCCCCTTCAGAAAATCAACATGTCCAGAAAGACCAGCAGTTCCAGGGACCGCAACCGCTCCCAACGCCCTCACCGGATGAGAACGAGGATTGCATCACAGATCCAATGGCCGACGCCTTCGATATTAACGACCACCTTCCACCACCCCATATCCTGCGCCCTTGGGCTGAACCCACGCCTCCGCCTACCCCTCCGCTGCAGGCGAAACAGCTACAACTTCCCTCTCCATCGCCACCACAGCTGGATACCCTTCAGGTACCGCAGAGCCCGCCACCAGTACCGGGCGTGCCGACCTTCACCATAACACCCGCGTCTCCGATCCAACCTACCGGCCGCTCTCCCTTCTCCTCTTCCCCACCTATCGCCCCCCATCGCTCCTTCTCTGCGCCTGTCGTCGGAGGCCCGATTGTCGTCCCGGCCAACGCCCCTCGCAGAAGATCAACAACGATCTCGTCGTCGAACGCGCCGTCGTCGCTCGGCCAAACTAACAAGGTCGAAAAGGGCACGCCGGCAATGTGCCCGACGTGCGTGAAGCTACAGGAGTCGATGGCGCAAATGCGCAAAGTCGCCGGCATCTATGGACCGCGGCACAGCCTGACGGTCGCGGCGGCCAAGACTGCGCGCGCAGCGAGGGTAGCGTGGGCCGGGGCGCAGTGGGAGGCTAGTTGTGTTTGGGAAGATGACTGTGGTGGTGATGAGGCCGTCGTGAAGTCAAGAAAAGAAGGGTTGGCGAAAGAGGAGAAAAAACAGAAGAAGGTCGTCAGTTTCCAACCGAGCGCCACGTTCTTCGTCGACCGCGAACCGTTCATCGAGCCGCCGCAGCCTAAGCCATCGACAGCAGAAGGCGGGGACATCGCTTCGGACGAGGAGGACGAGAAACCCGACGCCGAGGCGCAGCTCCAGCGCGAAATGATCATCGGACAGCGGCTGTGGGGCCCGCTCGGCGAGCGCGGCCGCAAGCAACGCGACTTCAAGCGGTCCATGAGCGAGTCGTACGTGGCGGGCCGGTGGGCGCCGCCCGGGCGCAACGGAGAGTGGCTGGACACCAGCGGGCGGACGCAGACGTACGAGGAGTTTTGGGCCGCGGACAAGCACCACGCCAAGGCGAAGGATGGCGGGTCCCACGGTGCTGCGAGCGTGTTGGGCGGCAAGGTCATCAGGGGAGTTCTGGGAAAATTCGTGCCCGGCGCGGGGGCGCATGCGGCGGCGAAGAAGGAGAGGGAGAGGTTTGAGAGGGCGGAGAGGCTGGAGAGGGTGGTGGGGTTGGAGGTTGATTGACCGAACTGACTGACTGACTGACTTGGTCCCCTTCTTGTCCATACTTTTTGGTTTCTTTTTTTGTTTTTCGTTTTTGGCACCGAGAACACGACGACCCCGAGAGTGTTGTCGGCTCGTGTGGTGCATGCAAGCATACTGCATTTGCGCGGCGTATCCACCGTCCTTTTTTTGGTCTCTTTCTTTTGACAACCCAACACATAAGCTCTTCTTTTTATTTTGCTATCCGGACCGGACCGGATGGACGGACGGACGGACAGACACTGCATGGATGGGCGCTAACTATATCATGGTTGTCCTCATCGTCATCAAACATCATCATCATCATCATTATCACTATAACTGTCACGATAGCATCGAGATTCTCTTCTTTTTTCTTTTCATTTTGTTCGGTAAATAGGCAGAGGTATATACCACCAGGCAGACCGATGGGTTGACGGGCATATGGGAGGAAAAGGGAAATCGTGTATGTTGCAGGACGTAGGATGTAGTAGACGAGCTCTCCGTTTACGTGTGAAGTGTAAAAGAGTTAGTAGTCGAGAAAGAAGGAGAAGAAGGAAATGAGAAAAACTTCAAACTGAAAAGAAACTTAAGAGTTGTGAAGGCGTTGGGCGTCGGGGCAGTGCACGAGCTCTTCTTCGGCCAACCAATGATTGAGCATGATCTGCCCCGTTTTGCAAGTTGGCTGCCTGGCCGTATCAGCAGCGGTGGACAGTGGTGGCGACGACGACGGCGTCATGCCAGCGGTTGATGCGTCTTCAAAATGGTCCATCATCGTACAGTCAGGACAAGAGAAAGACGCGAGCGAGTAAGAAGAGTCGCGTGTGTATACGTGAGTTGGTCCGCTAGAAAGACCAAGGGACTTCCCGCTCCGCCAAGGATGATTAAGTGGAGGTGGAGGAGCTGGACGGACACGTCAGAACTTTTTTTTGGGGAGGCCGAGAAGCCACTGCTATGTGTAAGAGGAGTCCTTTTGGGGGCCTTGCATGGATCTTGTTGTTGCTTTTGTTGGATTCTAGACTCTGCGTGGGCTTCTCGTATCCTGAGGAGGGGAAGGATGGGGATGCCTGGAGTGAGGAGGGCGCTAAGGCGTGTGTGGCGGTGGGCCCTGCTGCTGGGCTGGGATGTGCGCCTCTTTCTTCGAGGCTGTGGGTTGGGTGGATCGGGGAAGTTGCCGTGGCTGGGGGCTGCTTGATTTTTTCTCTGAGAGGGACCTTTTTTTTTTGGCAGTAAGACCGCTGTTTAAGTAAGATGTTGTGAAGGTTCAAAGGAATACAAGGTGAGAGGTAAGACATTATAAAACTTCTCGGTATGGAGGGACACTGAGAGTAAGTAATGTTGAAGCTGATACCGTCGGTGGAGACCATTGTTAAAGTGCACTATGACGAAATACGAGGCAAGTAAGGGTGGCATATGGATTATTCTTTTAAATATTGCAAAACGTGGCGGTTGACTTGGCCCGCAAAGTAACCATTTTAAGATTTCAACAGCATTGACTCACCGAAAAGGAAGCCCCCACAGACTACAGACCCTCGGGGGAGGGTCTTAGTGATGAGCCATGTAGCTGCCGCCTATTCCATCACAATAACCGTCTGTAATTGGGCCGCTTACTTTCGCGATTTATAGTGCAAGGGCCGTTGCTGTCAACTTGCGTTCCCATGTCAAACTGTCTGTGATGCTCGATCTGGAGGATCTGACCCGCCCGCTCTCTCTTTTGGGAAACCCACAGAGTTAGTCCTCGACATCTCATCAACCCGATGCCGCCGAAGATCCGAAGACGCGAACTGAGACAACTCAGATCTTTAAGATGATCGACAATTTGCAAGTCTGAATCTAGACTTGTCGTGCTTTGTTTATATACAACTGTCGACAATGTTTTGTTTCTGCGATGATGCGCATGGCAACGCATCTTGATGCGAGAGAGCAACTGAGCATGAATCTCAGTGGGTTTACCCATGCTCTCCTTTAACTCTCTACCCCGAGGGTTTCCGATTCACGCACCCAAGAGACATTATTGCATTAATCCACTGGCCCACCACTTCATTTCCAAGCAAGGGAAGAAGACAGAGAGACAGAGGAAAAAACCAAGATAAAAAATCAAAACCGACAAACATGCTGGAATACCGACAAAACACAAGATAGATAGGCAACAAGATCACAGGCAGAGAGAGGGGTGGTGGAAAGGAGATTAAACCGAGACCGAGACACAAGGGAAGCCGCAGACAGAGAGGTTGGGAAAAGGAAAGGAAACATGCGCTTAAAGACAGCAGAGAAGGAAAGCAAACCACTCCCAGTGAGGACAAAAACCGAGCAAAAAGCAAGAGACCAAAAGACAATTGTGCAACGCCAATGAACCCCCCCTTTACGCCTCCTGGGCATAAAACATCATGAAGCTCTTCAAACTTCCCTTCGCGGATCCTGAGGGCCGCCGATGATGGCGCGAATTCGATCTCCGATCATGCGGCCCAGTCTTTTTTTTCCATGCAGTTCAGGCAGACGTCGACGCGCATGACCATGTCGTCGTCGGGATCGTTTCCCGGGCATATGGTCTTTGTTCTCCTCCGGTCGGAGCAGCGGTAGAAGTGCTGGGCGGGCTGGGAGCAGCCGCAGCTGTACGACTTCTGCATTCCTTTGCACATGGTGATCGGCGGTGGGCTGATGTCGCTAGATGTATCGAAAGCCAAGGCAGCAGCGGAAGCGACTTGGCAGATCGGCGAGGAGATTGTGAAGGTCGGACGGATGAGGGAAGAAGTGAAGATGCAAGAGGCAAGCAATAGCAGCAATCTATGCGCTTTGGCTGTACATGGCAGTATAAAGGGCGAGTTGAAAGGAGAATGGCGCTGGTGGTAGCGAGAAGCAAGCGAGAGCGCAAAGGCTCACGACAGTATATCAGACAAAGAAATGACGGCGCCGCGCAAATGACGGAGGCGGTGTTTGGCCGTGCTTGGGCGGCGCGCATTGCCCATCCAAATTTGCGTGTGCTGGCTAATAGAGAGCGCTCACGAATGGAGCGCGAGGTCCGAAGCGACCAATTAGCTCAGACGGGGGGAAGATACGGGCGCGGCGGACTGGGCAGCGGGCGCCATTGCTGGTGGGATGATGTGCTGCAATATGTCCGCGAGCGCATGCCGACAGCCCTACGGCGGCAGTTGGTGAGAGAGCGCGCCGAGGGTGTGAGGGTGCGAGGGCGGGCGACGCTGTGGCCCAGCACATCCCGGCCGCCGCAACGGGCGCACTAGCCCCCAACCCGGACTAGCCGCGGCCCGAGCTCAAATTTCGAAAGCTGCGAGCGAGCTGGGCGCGACATCTGCCCGCCGCCTAACCACCGTCACCCTCCACCACAGACCACCGCGAACACCGCTTCCGAGTTGCCCAACATGAGTGTACGCGCCGCCTGCCGCCTGCAATGCTTTCCCATGCTGACTCTCTCAGGGTTTTATGCCCGTCAACCCGCGCCCCATGCTCCTGAACCTGTACGTCACCCGCCCACGCGCCGCCCGCCCAGCCCGCGCATCCATGCTCCAGCCCGCCGCCGCTCTGCTAACACCTGACACCATCTACCCTCCAGCGTGGGCAAGGACATCCGCGTGCGTCTCAAGTGGGGCTACACCGAGTACACCGGCACCCTCATCTCCGCCGACAGCTACATGAACCTCCAGCTCGCCAACACCGAGGAGTTCATCGACGGCAAGAGCACTGGCACTCTTGGCCAGGTCCTGTTTCGGTGCGCATCCAATGCTGCTCTCGCCTTGCGACCCCCGCGCTAACCTCCCCTGCCTCGCAGTTGTAACAACGTCCTGTGGATCTCTGCAAAGGACGCTGGCGATCCAGGCAAGTCAAACGATACAGAGATGAGCGGTTGATTACGGCCTTGACTACTCGGGTGGCTGCAGGATTTCAGGGTTTCAAGACCGGCAGGCGCTTTAGCGAGTCCAAGTTGGGCAGCCTCGGCGAGATCAAAGAAGCACTTGACCATGGAAAAGCTGGCCCTTCTACTAGCTGCCCTACCGGAACTGACCGGTCTTGCTATGGTTCTCGTTCTGGCGATACTACTTCTGGCACCCACTCTTCGGACTTGACCCCTACTGCCAAGCGCCAGCGCGATGATTGCGACGGAGAGGAGGCCGAGAACTCCGTTCCCGACGCGAAGCGCTACAAGGTCTCCCAGGAGTGAACATCATGGTTTCTTCTTTCAGCGGTATACCAATTGGTAATGATTGGTTCAGGACGGCTTCTGAGTAGGCTTCCGGCATAAGCATGGTTCATATGGAGTTTTCAGGTCATCAAAACAGGATACCTCAAACGAGAAAGGCTGGACCGTTTGGTCACGGCCTATTTCCCTAAGACACAGACTTGCCTACTGTCCTACGTGATCGCGTTACATTGACCGAATCTACTACTATTCAATCTCCTCAACCACAGGCTTCATACCACGGCTCTCGCCACTACTCCCGTCCGCATTGACGCTCAACCCCCTCAGCTCAGCCAGCCCCAGATCTTTCGTCAGCCGGACACCAGCACCAGCAGCCACCGCCGACCCGTCCCCCCTCACGCCCAACGCCCTCTTCACCCGCCACGTCTCCAGCGCCTCCAGCACCTCGCCCGCATGCCCCTTGACCACCGCATCCGCATCCCGGTCCCTCACCCACCCAACCACCTCCCCCACTTCCTCCCACTTTTCCGGCGTCAACACCGCCCCTACCCCCTCCCCCTCCCCGACCGCCCCTCCCCGTCCACCCGACTCGAGCTCCTTGTCCATCGCCCCCACCAACCCCCACACCACCAGCACCGCCGCCCGCCTCAGAACCGCGTGCCGCTCCTCCGTCTCGAGCGCCAGGCTCCCCAGCACCACGTCCACCCCCGCCGCCACGTCCGCCCGCGGCAGCACCGCCAGCGTCGCCGGCTCGCGCACCACGGTCGTGAAGACGCTGAGCGCCAGCGCCCGCAGCCGCACGTCCTCGTCGAGCCCGGTGTCGGACCAGCCCGAGACGACGGATGAGAGGAGGGCGGCGTCGCGTTCGGCAGCAGCATCTTCGTCCCCGCCGCCCTCCTCCGGGGCCAGGATCTGTGGGACTGGCCCGCCCCATGCCTTTTCCGCGGCACGCCGCTTGCGCTCCGCCAGGCGCGCGGCGCGTTGGCGGGCGCGGAGCGCGGAGGCGCGGGCCCCGCGCCGCGAGGCGATGCGCAGGCAGGCGGTGGCGATTTGGCGGATGACGACGGCCTGCACCGCGGCTGTGGCGGCGCGGGTGGTGAGCGATGGCGGCGGCGGTGATGCTTCTTGCATGTCCGACACGACGCGCCCGAGGACTTCGCCGACGCGGAGGCGCGCGTCCAGCCCGTTTGCGTTCTCGTCGTTGCCAGAAGACGACGACGACGACTCGTCGACGTCGGCGAAGGCGCGCACGAGGAGGTGGCCCGCGACGAGCTGGGGGTCGAGCGAGGCGAGGGCGGCGAGGGTCTGGATCACGTGCAGGTGGACGTATTCGTCCGGGTCGGGGAGCGAGGTGCTGAGGAGGAGGAGGGTCAGCTGGGGGAGGTCGAGGGCGGGGGAGCGGGCGCGGGCGAGGGCGCTGATGGCGCTGAGGGCCGAGGCGCGGAGGGGCGGGTCGGGGGAGGTGAGGTCTTTGAGGGCGGTTTGGAGGGCGGCTTGGTCGGCGGCGGTGGCGGTGGCGGTGGCGGTGGCGGTGGTGGTGGTGGAGGGGGAGGTGCGGGGGTTGTTGGGTTTGGACGGGGCGGGGATGTTGAGGAGGGTGGTGATGCGGGTAGTGAGGGTTGATGCTGTCATGGAAACGGAGGGGGGGAGCTCGCTGCCTGGTCCGCGGTCGTGGAGGTCGGAAAGGGTGGGGAGGATGGTGGAGAGGGTGGAGGATGTTTGGGGTGTTGGGCGGAAGTTGGGGGTGGAGAGGAGTGTGTTCAGGAGACTGAGCGCCACTGGCAGTATTTCACTGGAGCCGACTTCTGCCGCTGAGGTGAGTTGTTGTTCGGCTCCTTCGTCCCGCTTCTGCGACTGCTGGACGATGTTACGCAGCCCGGTATAGGAGGGCTTCTGCAAGTTTTCTGCACGCTGCTTCCTGGCCTTTTCGGACTCGGTCCATTCGTCGAGAAGTTGCTTGACGAGCTCGATCATGTTCTCCGGCCGCGTCGCCAGCTTGTCTCTGAACTTCTCAAGGATGGCCATGACCAATTTCGCAGTGATGAGTGACTGGAACGGGTCTTCTTCCGCGGGGGCCTCCAGCTTGGGCGCACCTCCGGCCTGGATTGAGTGTGGTACCAGCCAGCGTCTACTTAATCTGACGAAGAGGTCTCCGATATCTTGGTCCTCAACGCAATTCGACGTCAGAAGCTCCTGATAGGTGGCTAACCTCTCCTCAAGGCTGCCCATCTGCGCGATGACATTGAATGCATCATCATCGGGGGTCCGTTCCCTCCGGCGAATCTCGATACCACCGTCACTTCCAGGGGCGAAAGTCCAAGCCGGCGGTCCATCCCAGAGCAAGTTCGAGGCCAAGGCTTCGAGCTGCTCCACGCCGGCACTCAGCCGGAAGAAGGCCTCGAGCAGTTGCCATGGTATGTCCTTCCAGACTTGGCCCACAGGATGAGATTTGGCGTAGCCGAGCAAGGCCCAAAGAGGCAGCATCAATCGTCCGAGCAGACGTTTGGTCAAGCCAGGACTAGGACGTGACGTCACGAGCGTGACCAGGCGGCTCAATGCACGTCTAAGTTCCGGCTCTGCAACGACAGTCTGGGCGGCATCTGGAAGAGAAGTACTTGAGACTTCTGCCTTGACGGTTTGTACTTTGGGAGGACTGATGCTGAAGATTATGGGCTCGGCAAAAAGGCGCCACCCTATGGCCCCTGGAGCACCCAGCGCTTTCTTCCCGAGTATACCACTGCCGATCACCAGTGCTGCAGCTTTGGCGAGCTCTTGACCTTCGGCACCATCAAGCATCGTCAGCAACTGCGGGGCGAGAGCAGTGAAGTATGCTTCCGCATCCATGGAGCTGGGGACGGAGGAGAGAAGCTTTGAGGCTTGCACCAGCGCTTCGAGAGGCAGAGAAGGGCCTGTAGTCCTATCTTGGTTGTCCGATGATTGTGGCGGCTGCGGATACGAGGATGCTATGAACTCGATTGTGTGTCGAACCCCACGAGGGCGTAAGGGAGCGAGTGCAAGCTGTTTGGAGAGTTGTGACTTGAGCCATGGTGGAGTCGTAGGCTGCATGAGATATGTGAGGAGAGGCAAAGCCGAAGCAATGGGGGTTCTAAGATTTGTTAGACACTCGGTTGGAATACGTAGGAATGTGCAAATTAAGAGAGCAAAAACTGACTTGTTTATGATCAGCACAAAAGTGTCTCCGTATTTCTGGTGCATAACATCGCTTGAGTCTGGAGAGAATGCAAGCTCTCCCGCCCCAGCAGTAACGTCGACCAAAACGCGTTCTCTGATAAGTGAGGCTAGACCAGCACCAGGATTCCCGAGCATTTCCCCCATTCCATCCACAATCCCGCACAACAGGTCCGAGTCCTTGTTGCTGCCGGGAGTCGCATCACTCAGGCCTGGGATAGTCGACCTGGGGCGTCGGTTCGCTGCAACCCCTGGCGATAGAGACGGAAGAATCCCGCGAATGGCCACCAGATCCAATAGTCCGTACAGAGTTTGTCTAGAATCTTCATCATATTCTCCTTCGCCGTTGGCGGGGGGTGCCTGGTTTTGCTGGGTTATGTCTGCCTCGTGGATGCGAAGCAAATGGCCCAAAGCCGCTCGCAACACAGCTCGGTGGGCATCGGAAGTGGATGAGACGCCAATATTATTACTCAGACGAACTACAACGTCGTCGTTCCCTGTGACTCCTCAGCATACAGCTCTGGAGGAGGGCGAACGATATTTACCACGCTTCAAAGCAGGAGCAAGGAACTCCCGAGCCGCGTCGAGCGCCTCTCTCAAGGACGGCATGGTGGCTTCACACGCGCAAAGTGATCGAGTGAGGGTGTCGTGGCGGATCGCGACGGGCTTCGAAGTTCTTCTGGCAGCAAACGGTGACGTCACGTGCCTCCGCAGCAGAACACGCTAGTCCCAAAACGCGTGTCCACAACCCGACCATCCATTGCGCGCGTCGCGACTCGTCCTCGTCCTCTCTTCTTCAACCCTCTCTTCGTCAACGACTGCGTGGATCAGCTCTCTCTCGAACGCGCCCCCGCTGACATCTGACTTGCAATCGCTAGGATCTGTGCGCAGCCGCAATTGAGGACTCCGTCAAACGCGGGACCGCTACGCGACTATCGCCTCTCGTCTTCCACCAATCTCTCGCTCATTCGAGCGCCACAAAACTTACGCAGCGCCCTCCCCCCACAGCGCCGTTTCTCATCTCCCGGCCGTAAGGTAGGGATGTGTAACAACGCCTCTTGGTCATCCGTGCCGGCGGTGCCAGCGCCGCACTCGAGCCTCATAGCACGGTCTCACTGGGTGCCGGTTGCTGCGCGCCAATGGTTCTGCAGTGGAAACACTGTACCTTCGGGGGGTGCCTCGAAGGAGGATGGGATGCGGAACTTAACCCTATCCTTATCTCCGGTTCACAGCATCACGGGGTCACACAGTTGCCGACTGCGCGACTAGCTTCCGTAACAGCGGCTCGATGTACCATGCCTCGCGCTGGGTGACGGCCAACGTGGAAGGGGCGAAAGCGCGGCTCGTGGTCTAAAGGAAGTCTCATGCGTCGTTTTGGTAAGATCTCCTGAGGGGACGCGCGTCGATTCTTCTGTCTTGACAGCAGACTCTGGTCTTCATGGACGGCCTTTTTTCGCGACGACGTGCCTGGAAAGAGCCTATGATAGATCAGGTGGAACTCTGTCGGGCACCTCCACGAGGATCGTCTTTGGGACCTTCACATGCCATTCAGCTTTCTACGGCCTTGCTCCTCGTTCCCGGAGCCTGCAAAATCGGATCCCGCCTGCGAGTCTTGGACGGTCTGTCGGAATCTTCACTAGCAGCCTCAGTGTTGTCCACCATTGTCTAGCGCCTTTGGACTGTCTGGCATTGTCTGGATGGGATGCCTGATTGAGCACGGCTTTCACGGCTGAGTCCTTGCCTACAAACAGAATGCTTCCGATCTCTCCTCACTCTTGCTTGCAAGATAGACTCGCCTTGACCACGCTTCGTCGTGTAGCGAGGTCTTCAAGTTCTCATCAGAGGGAGCAAGGTTGCTATTCATCCTCGGCGAGCTGAGATGCTCCTGTTCGGGTAACCTGAAGGGTATTGCTTGGCGGTTCGGGGTGTCTGATCGTGGTGGGTGTCGCGGACGGCATTCTGGAATCGACTCACCACAGCAGGCGGATCTGATACGCTCAAGGGCTTCGGTGTATCGACTGTTTGGTTACGATTGCTGACCCTGGTGAAGCGTCCCGTACAGCTTCCCTACTCCGCAGAGCGCCGGTGCTTTTGTGCTCACTCAGCGAACCTGGCCTCCACCCTCGGCTCTTTCTAGAGGGATTTTTTGATGATCCAGCATAGTTGCAGGCCCTTGCCACGGCACCCGCCAACGGCATTGTCACCTCCGGTGTCGTCTGACCAGCCGTGTTAACCATCTCCCCCTACGTTCAGCGTAAGGGTTGATTGATGGGCGCCGAAATATCTTGCTACCAGCTGCTCCTAGTTGGGCAAGATTCCGATCCTAATGTACATGGATACGGACGCGGTTTTTGACGATGTGCTTTGTCCGCGGAAAAAACATTTGCCCTCGATTTCGAGAGGTAACAAAGACTGTCCACGGGAGGACTGCAGCCACACACGGAGAGATACACCACTTTCTTGATCGCATCTTCTGATGCATCGGGGTTTGGAAGAACGAGAGTCAACGATAGCGCCGGCGATCCTACGGATGCGGACGAGATGACCGACTTTGTTGCATGGATCAAACTATCTGCAGGGACGACGATCTCAACTGCGGGGTTGCTGTGTGGCGGGAGCTAAGAGCCCGCGTCAGTCGTACGGATGTTCTCCTCAAACCCCAGCTCCCTCGTCATTCCTTCATCGTCCTGGGCCCAACACTTCGTTCTGAGCAGCAGCACCTAACGGTAAACAGCACGCGAGGTATGCCCTAGCCGATCGTTGACGCCGGCACCATTGCCTGCAGGGTAGGAGAGCAGTTGTGTGCCGGAGTCTGACGACTTGGGGAAAGCCGGAGCACCGGGCGCACGAAGCGGGACCTCTCAAGAGTGAGGATCAAAGTCGCGGCTTGTCTGCATTCTGCGCCTGGCCGGTCCCTCGTCCGAAGGTTTCCATCATGTCTGTACTACTCCTTTCTCCATGGTCATTCGGTTTGCCAATGCGCAGCGATTGTTGCGAAGACGGGCGTCTGCCTACGCACATGCTTTTGCTAGCTGAACTCGTTTGGGGCGTTGTTGTTTGAGCTCAATCATGCTCGGTGTTGAGTGTAAGGGCGCTGATTGTGGGCTACAAGGGGGGCGTCCTCGGCGGAGAAAGAGGTTCATTAGGGGACGTTTCTGGGTGGGTAAGACTGTGAGGAGGGCGAGGAGCCCTGGCCGGCTCCTGAAGGACGTCACAGTCTGAAGGGAGGCGGCCCCAGTTTTTTTCTTATAAGTCTTCCCCCATCCGACACCACTCAATGTTCACCGGAACTGACTGCTACAGGTATCTCGAGATTGGTGATTGTAGTGTTACAGACGTGGCCGGGGTCCTTCCATGTGGAAGAACGAATCTGAAGACAGCCTTTGATGGCTTCGGGGCCGATTGAGAAGGCACTGAAGGACTGTATGACAGCGGAACGGCGACCGGTGATGACATTCAAAAGGCAAATTTCTCAGACAGCCACGGCTCGCTTCCAAAGTGGAGTGAGCGTCAGGATTTGGTTGTCGTTGTGAACGTTGAGAAGCTAGTCTGAGGTCTCGCCTGTCCCTGTCATTATATCACAGCAAATTCAGCCGTATCAAAACATGCATTGTGCCTTCGTCATCATCTTTCTTCTCGTCTTGGTCACGCGTTTAATCGTCAACTTCTTGCGCTGGTCGAAGCCGCGCGGAGATGACTGCAATCACAAAAGCCTGCTAGCAGTTGAGTTGATATTAAGAGGCGGCAGCTCGCATGGCAAAATCGTCCTGTGGTTGAAGTGTTCGCTTTGTCTTGCGCGTCCACCCAGCACTCCGGTGGTGGTGTCACGTCATGTCCTCTCTTTCCATTTCTCCGGAGCGAGGGCGTCCGCTTGTTGCCTAGACGGTAATGCGGAGAAGTCCCAGTTTGGGTTCCGTGTCCGTCTCCTCCTGCTTGCAAGCAAGAGCTCGTCGTCTTATGTCCATACATTTTTCACATGTGAAGCCGATTAACCGTGATATAGCGCGCGATATGGTCACCACGCTTTTGCTGCTGTTGCATGAGCGGGATTTGAACAACCGATGTTTTATGTCCACGGTCACGCCTTGCGATGAGGGCAGCAGAACTTGGTGGACACCCATGCTAGTCCGTTCGCATGGATGGCAAGAGTGCTCGAAAGGTGTCTGATGGGTTTACGTATTGAAAGCTGACATCCTGGGCTGTTGGCCCCACCCATGTCACCCCATGTCTGGAGTGACAGGACAAGACAGCGAAGCCACCGAACAAAGGGCGGTGGGTTGAAAGAGGCGGTTTTTCATGTGCATGTATTGTGCTAAGCAGTTGCACGATGGATAAGATATGCGTAAGATAGTTGATCGCATGATAGCGCAGATGAGAGAAAGGCCGTGTCTATCAAGCTCTGTTTTCTGGCGCGAGAATGAACAACACTGATGATGACGGCCTGGTTGGATTTTCAACGATGTGCCTGTGGAATTTGAACTTGTTCAACATCACAAGATTGCACATGTATGCTTTAAGAAGGTGGCTCAATTGAAACTTTTGCAATTTCGGGATAGCACCACCGATGAGGATGGGGAAAATAAGACGAGATCACCCACGATCGGTACGACGGGAAGTGCCGTCCAGCCTAAAGGAACTATGGTTGCGGCGGCGGGCAAAGATGGGGGAACGAGTGCGTGCGTGCGTGCGCGATGCAATCCCGGAGGCTCGTCCGGTTCTCGTGCCCAACGTTGTTGGTGAGCAGCGATAATAGGCAGCTGAAGCTTCTGCTGCCTGGCACGGACAAGCGGCTCGGGCAAGAAGGTTGAGCAAACGGGCTGAGGACGATCAAGGAGAGATGGCTGCAACTTGTCTTACATGATGGTTACACCCGATATGCCATGGACTGCCGGGATGGAACCAGCACGCGGGGAGGTTTTTGCCGTTAGCGGCACGATTGGCTGGCTTTCATCGGACGGCAGAAACGGAGGGGGCAATGAACAGGCCATGACGGACTGACGTCGGATGACATGTATCTGATGGACGATCTGATGGAGAGGCTGAATGTCGTGCCTCAGGCTGCTTCGGCAGTCGCTGCAGTGACACGCGCGTCTCGTCGCCACCGATCGGCGCAGGAGCCGGCGGAGTGAAGCTAGCAAAGCAAGAAGTAAACAAACGTTTAGCACAGCACGAGCACAACGCATCAGACTAGCGGGGCCTAGACCTGGTACCGGGTGATTTATGAGAAAAGGGACCGAAAGGGTCTTCCCTTCCGCCTTCCGAAGCACGACGCTAATAAAGTAGAGTCGTAGCACTGACCTGGCCTTTGTCGATCAGCTTTGGGTTGCGGTGGTGGTTGGAGGCGCGAGCTGCTTTTTCTCCAGGAAAATGCCAGCCAAGGATTCCAAACGAAGGAAGCCCGCTGGCTGCCCGCCATTCCGCGACTGGCCTGTCCGGCTGCTTTCGACCAGCGTCGCGCCCATATTGGCCGTGTGTCCACAACCGGGCATCGAAAGAACAGGAGCAGCCGGTTTCTTCGCCTCTTCACACACGCCGTGCTCGCCTATGACACCATCCCTCCACCCACCCTCCGACACGCGCCTCACTCTCGCGCGCGTCTAGGTTGGCGGTCGGGGCAAAACACTGAAGAATGGAAGCCGTCACAGCGCGCGCCGAAAGCCAGACGTTCTTCGTCGCCGGCGAGTTCCTGACACTCGCCCCCCCCGTTTGCGGCTGCCAGCGCGTAGCAGTCGAGACGTCCGCCCGCTCGCCTGATTTGCCTCAGCCCTGCGCAGCTGTCGACATCACAGACCCACTCTCATTGCGTCGCCGAAACCTTATTTCGCAACCTCGTCCGAAAGTGCCCCCAGCAGGACATATGGAGCAGTACCCAGTCAGGCCGACCACCATCTACGATACCCATCGAATTTTGAAACATGCTGCGCCGGCGAGTGTCTTTGTGCGGCTGGCTTGGGAGGCTGCGGATGCCTCACACCTGCTGCCAGCCTCTCCCGCGCGCGTATTGTGTGAGATTAGAAAAGAGCATTGGAAAAAGGCGGCAGCCCCGGGCGCCGGGTTGGCTGAGAGCGCCAGCCGCAGCCGGCGCGGGAACCTAGGGACGCCGCCTCTTGTGTGGGAAGCAGGATCCGTTGGATGCCCGTCGATCACGAGCAGAGGCGGCGTCAACTGTATCATTCGCGGCGGCGACTGATCAACCTGCTGGGCATCATCGGTGTCGGGATGTCCCCTCTGGAGGGCGTTCGCGTCGAAGCGACGCAGAAAGACTGGAGCTCTAGGGGTCCAACGGTCAATGCGGACGGTGTTCGCTTCTGTTATTAGTCTGGGGTCCGCAGCCTTGTGCTTCTGCTTGACGACAAGGGCGGGAGGGTGTTGGTTCTCCGGGCTCTCAGCGCGCGCGCGAGCAGCGTGTATAAGCGCGAGGCGCACCGCGAGACGAAACGTGAGGCACTAGGCAATCTACGGCCAGGACTGCCCCAGTCTCCGCCCCCGCGGCCAGCAGCTTGCTTTTTCCCTGCACGCGCGAAGCAGGTACTACATGGTGCATTTCCGGCGCCACCTTGGCTCTCGCGCAGCTTGCTGCCGTGTTACTTGCTGGCGGCCCGGTCCCAGATTGGCAGCGCATGAAGGAATCAAGGGTGTCTACCAGGCACGCTCGCTGGCGGCCCCTCCCCCGTGCCTAATCGACAGGAGAAGCAATAAAGGAGGGAGGGGGAGCTGGGGGCGGGCGTTTTCCATCGTCCAACGGCCCGGCAGGCACAAGAATGGGTCCAGCGGGCTGATCCCGCGTTTATCAGCGGATCTCCCTCAGCTCTGACGTTGGATTGCAACGTTGGAATGGAATTGATAACGCGCATCCGGGCTGAAGTGCGACGAGGGGGCTGAACGCCGGGTGCCACTCGCCAGCGCCGCAGCCGAGCTGGCGTGGTGACGAAAAGGCAAGATAAGAAGCAGCAGGTACAGGCGGCGGGTGCAAGTCGGAGCGAGGGCTTGCGGAGGGCAGCTCTGAGACCGGGGAGCTGGATCTCTCCCTCTCTGCGCCCTCGTACTCGACCTCGTCTGGTGGGCAGCTCCGAGATTGCAGGAGATGACGGCTTCGGCGCGCGCCTCTTCGCCAATCAGGCGCGCCTATTCGCACATGCAGTCCTCATTTCACCCGCCTCCTGACGGGCGTCGAAAAAGCACAAAAGGCTGAACCGTCGAAGGCGGCAGGCGGCAGGCGGCAGGAGAGCGGGCTGCGGGCAGGAGAGCGGGCTGGAGGCTGGAGAGCATCACCGTTTCGCATCCCCGGGACGCTCGGAGTAGTCTGTTTTTGGCGCCATCCCGTCCGCCATCTTGTCGCGTCTAGGTACTGTGACACAGTAGGTAGGGCCGTCGGGCAGCAAGCCAGCCAATCTGGTCGACGGGTGACGGGACGTGACGGATCTGTCATACCGGCGCTGGGCCAAGCGGCGGAGCGGGCGGTGCTTTTTGCGCAGCGGGTGGCAGTGGCAGTGGCAGTGGTCTTGGGCAACGCCGTTGCTTGGGCGAAGTCGTGGCCGCGGGGGATGCGCCCAGCCGGCCGCGGATCGTCGATGGTTTCCCCCAGCCCGGGACCAGGCTTTGCGGGCGGCGGGAACCCATGGTTATACATCCAGGCGCAGGATCTCGTCGCGCGCCAGTTCACGTCACGCTGCTGGAGTTGCGGGCGCGGGGGCGGCCTGTGTCGTGCTGCTGGCGGCTGGCAGGCCCACGAGCACACGAGCAGCAGCATCGGCGGGCGTCGTGGCACAAGCGTCGCCCAGCACGAGGAGCAGCCGTTGCGGTCGCCGCCCAACTCGCGGCCGCTTCATTTCGAGCCGACGGCGAGCTAGGTCGGAGCCGTTGTCCCGCGGCGCGCCATCTGGCAGGCGGAGGCCTGTTCGCCAATGGCCGCCCTCGACGCGCACGACACACAGAGATGCTCAGGCACTCACCTCGCCTTGTGCGCCGCTAGTGCTCATTTCCCACTGGCGCAAAAAGGAGTCGGCCATGCACCCCTGCCGCCCAGCCCGGCTTCCCTGCACAACGTGGCTTCCCGTGAAGGGTGCGTTTGCAGCGCGCCCACCGCTTGGCTGCTGGCTAGCAAGGTCCAAGGCTCCGACGCGGGCAGGCGGGCAGGCGGGCACGGCGGGCACGGCGGGCTCGTCGGCGGGCAGGCAGCGCGGCAGTGAAAAAGCCAGGCGTGGGCCCCGGGCAGCGAGCCCACGAGCCCGCGGCTGCTAGGCGTGCATAACGCGCCCAAACAGGGAAATCATCACATTTCAATAGTGCTCGATGCCGCCGCGCACGTCGGGACCATCCGGGCGGCGGGCCCCCGGCTCGTCAGTGAAGTGACGGCGACGCCATGGGCTCCTTGGGCCGGCCCACGACTCGCTCGCGTCCCCCAGCACCGCGCAGGGCCAGGTGTAATCTCTCGTCGCCCTTGTGCCCTCGCTGCGCAGGGCCATCTCCAGCTCCCGCCCGCGCATGCGCCCGGACGGCCGCCGCACCGCCGCTCACCGATCGCCTGCCCCCCAAGCTGCAAGTCACTCCCTCCCAGCCTTCCCGGCGCGCGCGCTGCCTCACCGCTCCGCTAAGTCGCGTCGGCGTGAGCAAGCAGCGTTGGCCGGCCAGCTCACCTCCGCCAGCCTGCCCGTCGCAGGCCTCGCGTGCGCGCGTGCGCCAGCACCCTCCCGCCGCCGCTGCCTCAACGCGCCTCCAGCAATCTCTCGTCGCGGTGGGGCCCTGAAGCACTGTGCCTATCTCAAACTCACCCGAGATTATCGGCGTCAGTGTCCGCTCTTCCAGAAAGCTCGTCGAAACAGTCAGGCTGCCCCTCCAGCCCGCGCCGGCTCACGGGCTCACGGGCTCACGGGCTCACGGGCGTAAACACGCCAGCCCGCTCGGCCTGACTCAGGCCGCGCCTGTTGAAAATCACCGAGCGCTCCTTTTGTGAAGATCTCCTCAAATTCCCATCACGCTCCAGCGCGCACGGCCTGCGCGCACGCTAGAAGCAGGGCTTGCTCCTTTTGATCGATTAAAACGAACCGACCCTCCGGCACGCCTCCCGCCTACCGTGGTCCTGGACTGTCTCCACGTTAGCCTGCAAGCCCTTTTCTAAACAGCCGCCGCACTTTTCTCTCCCACCTCTTCTGGACCCTGATTCTCTCCTTCTCCCACCGCCGCCAGCTGTCCAACACCCTGCCCGCGGGGCCACTGTCTCTCCCGCTTCCGCCAATCGCTCCAGTTCCGCCCCGAGACGCCCCCAGTTGGACTCCGCTGCAATCCCCCCAATTGTCCCGCATGCAATGAGCACGGCAAGCTTATAGCATCCAACCTCGACCATCGTTACCCTTGGCAGCTCCGCGTTGGTGAGTTGGCTCCTCCCGACCCCGACCCGCCGCACGCGCCCCTGTGTTAACCGCCGCCGCCGCAGCAGCACCCCCCTCGACACCCCCCCC